GTAGAATTTCATACTTTCTCTTTACATGTGTTTTATTTTATGTTATATAGCTGCTCCAGGCAAAAGATTTCTTGACAATTTGAACCTTGGTAAGATATTTCTTTAGTAACTTTTACTTTAAATGTTCTTGTAAACATCCATTTGTGAATAAGTTGGAAGTAATCGAGAAAGAATTAATTTAGAAGGGGATCGAGAGTTGATTTACATGATTCAAAGTCCTTTTTTTATCAAATCTGTTCTACTACTGTTGTATAATAAAAGAATTAAGAATACAAGAGTAGTTTTAAGTGGAAGTGGAAATATACACTAAAATATAATCATTGTTTTTTCCAAAATCAAAATTGATATTTCAGATTTTTAACTGAAATTTCTTTTGGGTAAACTAATTTGCAGGCAGCGCTATGAAGTGTATAATGAGGGAAATTGTTGAAGGCTCTTTAATGTGCACATTCTGTTGCACCATGTAAGCCCCTCCTGCATCAATGACATGGTAATACCGGATTTTAAAACAAAATTTATTATTTACAGGTGGTTTTAAACCATGTATTAGTAATATAGTATGTCTTGTCAGTCCTTGTATGATGCAGACATGTGAATCACATCCTGGTGCCAATTGCAGGTAATTAAACAACCCACAATAACAAGTAATAACTATCTGAATGAAAATTCAGCTTAAACCCACTCTGAGAATGAAGAAAAGGGTACCCACAGAAGTATCTTGTTTATCTTTGTACACCGAAATTTTAATTTTCTCGACTTAAAGAAAATGTCCAAACTATTATACGCTTTTTGTATACATGTTCAAGCATGAACGGTGGCTCGTATACGACATCATTTTTTCAAAATTTTTAACTAAAAAACTGGAATATAATTATAAAACATCATTTTGAATTATAAATATGATGTCGTATACGAACCACCGTAAGCACGAGATGTTTCTTTACACGATATACTTAGCTATCATAGATATAAGCAACATGGTATATTCTTCTAATGGATTCGATGTTTAAAGTACCAAAATTAAATTAATTTTATGTATTGAATTTCAGACAAGGATGTGGTTGTTCTGCTGTTTGGACTGATGCATCTGGATCCCGCATTACATGTTGATAATAGGAAACGAAGCTGTATGAAAAAACTACACACAAATTCTTGACCAATAAAATGTTTTCTATTCCTTTCAACACAGAAAGATATGATTATACATATTTCTTCCAAGGGCCGTCCTACAATTAGGGAAGTTCCTGATGTTTACACCGTGATCATAACTTTCTGACATTTTTTAATACAGAAACATACTGTAACCGGATAACGTCACCTATTATGATTTTGTGCACGAAGTCGCATTTCTTCGCATTGGGAGATAAAAGAGATTATCTGGAAGATCTGTTAAAGGAACAGATGTGTAATTTTTTTGTACCAATCATACTTTAGTCTCAGAATGCTAAGTCAATCAGTAATAGTGTTCACAGCCCAACGGCGAAATTTGAGCATTCAAATCCAAGCGTGTCCAGAATTAAAGTTAAAAAACGAGTCGTCTTTTATGAGATACTGCAATATATATGAACGACACCTATAATAGGTAAGGACATTCCTAGTTTGAGATATTTTATGAAGGAATTATGCGATTTTGTACATTTCTGGGACTTCTGAAGACTATTTACATAATTATATTCAAGTCTCAAATCAATACCCCAAAATGACGCACATATCCCTTTTAAAATCAGGTAGGGAGCTAATCAGTGACCTGGCCGACATAGTAGGCCTATCGTAGAAGAATTCTATGGATAAAAACATCTGGACTGGTTTATCTTAGAGTTAGAGACTCACTTTTTTACAATATCGTGACCTACACGATAAGAAAACTTATCAAACTTTCTTAACAAGATTAATACTGTCAACTACAGACGCCGAGAAAATGAAAGTTCTGGTGTTATCTGTTTTGCTTTGCACTCTATTGGCAGTAAACGGTAAGTTTTGAGAGACGGTTGGTTAATCATGTTGGCTGCGCTCTATGTCAGCTTTTTGCATTATGTTTCAAAAAGGAATACCTACTTCTACTTTTAAATAACAAAACGTACGCTACCTACTGAAGTGGCGACAATCTCAAATTATTAGAAGTTGTCAAAATTAAAGGACTTCCATTCTGGTATCTTGCATTTAAAGAAATAGTGTCCATATAGCACGCTATATTTGAAATGTAATGTACACGCTTTTATGTTCTGCTTTTCTGCTTCTGTGAGAATGCTTATTGCGGTGCTTTTTTTCCACGTTCAATTCTGTGTTTTAACTTGCATTTTATTTGTATTTTCCAGCTGCCCCAAACAAACGGTTCTTAGACCTCATTATAGGGGGTAGGTACTTTTCTTTCTATGTACATTTTCCAATGTATTTATCTTTTGTAGCGAAGCCATCAGTCTACTACTGAATAAACGACAGTCCGAAGCTCCGTACTATCAAGACGCTGATAGGCTTCACGTTTAACGTTAAGGTTACTGGCCGACTGGCGATTCAAAGCAACTTATCGGATCCGTCTCAGTCGACATGGCCTAAACTGCGATCAATAAGAGTTAATCGTGTGGTGGTTAGTATATCTAAAATTCTTACAGTTGCCAGGGCAGCCAATGAAAATCCAAATACCACTAATTGCAAGGTCGAAATGAACTCCCCAAATGGCCTCTATTGCAGGTCAAACCAAATGCCCGTTTCAAGCTTATTGTTTTATTGACCCTTGTATGCTAGCTAAATGTGAAACTAATCCGGATGCAAAATGTCAGTAAGTGTTTATCATCTTTTTGTTTTGTTTGATAGCGAGATCAGTCTGTTCAAATCTGGATGTTTTTTAGCGTTTTTCTAATGATGACGACACCTCCTGCCATTCATGATCTGTCAAAACTTTTGTGCATCTCGTGTTCTGTGACATATCGTACTCAACCAATCAAATGTCCTATTTCCTTACTATATGTGATGAATCTTAGGATGATCATTGTTTTACTTGCCCATATTTTTTGCCTGGTTATCATAAGTTATGACACATTTTGATGCCAATGAGCAAATGACGAATAAATTTATTAAAGATCGCATGACACAAAACCATACAAAACAACGTATGCTTCTTGTATGGAAATAAGACACACGAATGTAGTTCCATTTTGAATATCTAGTTCGACTGTCGAGTTTCTAAAAAATGCCTTATATTCCCACAAAGCCTTCAAATCACATTTAAAGTCATTTATAACCCTTTAAATATGATTCTAAGGCTTTGTTGAAATATTGCAGCATTTTTCAAAATTCGACTTATTAAGTCGAAAAGGTTGTTAATAACTTCTTTGTGTGTTATAACCACGTAAGAATCAAACATAGTTTCGTATGGAAACCAAACATCCAGAGCTTCTATTGGGAATAGAACTAAACGAGAATTAATCGAACTCAACTTCTACTTTAAAAGTCAACCAAGGCAACTGTCATTGTCAATAAATATTTAGCGTTTTTTTCCAGTGTATTGGTCTCATCAAAATTATCCTTATCAAAAGTGTCTTACCTCACTGATTGGTTGGCACGCAAGAGACACCAGAAGCCTTCTGTAAATTGGCGAAACAATCAAATTGTATAATTTTGATTCGAATTTTTGCCAAATTTAGTATTATTGCCTACTTTTGGCTGTCTCTATAGCAATGGTCCGTTTGGCAAAGAAATAGGTAGCACAATATGATTATTTTATTACTATCATTATAATGATTTAAACGTAATGGAGTCTACAACTCAAACATTTTGAATTGATACAAAATTTCCATGAAATGCAGATCAGAATTTATAATATAAATCTAGTTACGTTTTATAAACGTTTTCTTCAAGGGAAAGAATTCTCTGCAATTTCATTTGACCACTGAAGCTACTTATACAATTTTGTAAAACCAGATGTAAATCGGATTACTCTGATTCCAAGCATTGCACGGAGGGACAATGAGTACCTCTCAATATAACAGATCGTGTTTTTTCTTCCACCCTTTCACTACCTGCAGGGTAATGTTTGCGAATTTCTATGATTAGCCAAAATGAATCACGACAATCAGATCTGCAAATTAAAATGGCTAAATGGTCCACCCCTAAATACGCCATTAAGTAGTTTAAGCTTTTTCTCTTTGAAAAGAGGCATATTATTATGTTATTTTTCCATTTCAGACAAGGTTGTGCATGTTCTCCAGTCTGGACAGACTCTACAGGTCAACGTATTACTTGTTAATCAATTTATATTGAATAAACTACTCCGTCAAATTCACCATTGTTATTCTTAAGTTTTGGTTTCAAACTATATGGAACCATGATATTCTAATAATTTACATCAATGATGAAATTTGCTGACAAAACTGACCTTCATGCCTTTGTGTGTAGCGTTCGTTTCAAAAATTTTGTGGACGAGATATTAAAAAATGTAATTTGGGATTCCTAAATCTTATACATTTTTATGGATCCGGTGACATTCTAAAAAGCTGATTTTTATACGTTTTTGCCCCAAAATGTGTGCCAGAATGCACCAAATCAATTCATTTTTTCTAAAATTGAACCCTTTCAGACCCTTCATATTTGACGCTTGCACCTCCACAGAGTAGCCAAACTTTGAATTCAGGTTCAACAATTGTTCCACCATTGAGTCATTCTGGCCCCTATTTGTACCACCAGTCCAGGAAGACTCGCGCCGCCACTAATTACACTCTGATTCTGTTAGATACAATTTTCTATATTATCATTATTATACGACTTCATAATTAATATGTAATCATAAGGTCAAAAAATTACGGTCTTAGCTTTTATAGCCTACTTTGTAAAAATCCAAACAAGATATCATTTTCCCTTACATCCAGCCAATGCCATTGTTGGAGTGTTTTGAAAAACACGTTTCTACTTGATATTTAAAATTGAGTTGATTCGGCGTGGTGATCTTGTGGTCGAAATGGCGTTGTGTCGATATGTCCGAAGGGAGACAACTCCTTAAAAAAAACATGGCGGAGTATTTAGAAACCGTTAAAGAGTCTGCTGAATTTTCCAAGTTATTGAATGACTTTAAAAGGTGAGCTTCTTGAAAAGCCGACTGTTTCTTCAGAAATCTAAGGTCAATATTTTCCTATTGCTTTTGTTGTAAATTATTTTACCGTTAAGCCATAAATTCGATTTCGGAGTAATATCTTATATGGAAATACAATGGAACCAAACAACAACTACTTCCAAACATAAAATGACATGAACTTCTGAAGAGAAAACTATCATTGAAATCACAGTAAATTAAGTCTGTGTAGGTGAGTAGGCTTACCTGTAAATATTTGCTTTCTACTTCTCTTTCCAGTCAGCTGATTGTTGTTCACTTTGCTGCTAACTGGGCACCACAATGTAAACAGATAAATGATGTGCTCACAGAGTTGAGTAAGAACACCAAAAACACAAAAATAGTTCAGGTAGGCTAAAGTTACAAGATTCTGAATTAATGTGGTAATAATCATATTCTATATCATTTGTTTACAATTTCTGTCAGAAACTTGCTGATCATAACCTCTCTCTCGTTGTTTAATATACAAGATTTAAGTATTTGATTAATTCCATCTTCTATCTAGGAGTAGCCTGTTGAACATTTAGACATATCATTATCGGTATTAGTACTTGTAATTTCTTTCTATGATTATAGCTTGAAGCAGAAAATGTTCCAGAAATATCACAGAAGTATGAAATTGTTGCTGTTCCAACAGTTGTATTTTTTAAGGTAAACTTTTATAGAAAACCCACAACTGACACAGAATTTCTACTTTAAATTCCCTTATTTATCGTCTTTTATTTGATGCTATTACATTTAACAAAATACACAAATTTTTCATGGCTACCGGTACATGAGGTGTTCTCTCTCCATATATCTCATGGATTAAGAAGCTTTTCTGCTCTTCGTGGCTAGTACCTTTACTCTTCATGGCTTAAGGGCTAGTTGATTTTTCAACATGGTTTCCTTATCATTGAGTGATATAGTTTGGATGGGCTGACCTGCAAAGAGGATGTAGTCCTTTTATCTGACATTGAATTGAAGTCAAATTTACTGCAATTCAACCAAAACAAATGTTTTTTTTTTCTTTCAGAATGGTGAAAAAGTAGATAGATTAGATGGTGCTAATGTGGCTGAATTAAGTAAAAAAGTTTCTAAATGGTCAAGTGGATCACAAGTTGTTACATCAGAACCACCCAAACAAGTGAATAGCATTCATTTCTGTCTTAGATATGGAGAATAACTGTAATCAAGAGCACTATTGATAGCTCTAATTGATCAGTATCAATTAGTAAGAGAAACTATTTAGACAACTGTTGTAGGCATATATGTCGTTTTTTCTAGGATCTAAACACCAGGTTAAAGAATTTGATAAATCAAGCTAATGTCATGTTATTTATGAAAGGATCACCACGAGAACCTAAATGTGGTGAGTTAACTTTATGAAATGGATGAAAGGTTTTTAGCCTTTAAAAGGGTGTCACAGTGTCTTTGATACTGTTAACAAATTCATTATTGGCTTCAGCTCAAGGCACAGCATTCATGATTTATTTTTATTGCTGATTGTGCAGGATAGCTTTTAAATATTACAATCTGTATGGGATAATTTTAAAATGTCAACAGTTGTGAGTCAATAATTTCTTCCATTAAACATGAATTTACAGGCAGAACATGTGAAGGCATACTTACCTTTTCATTATCTTCTGTAAGGTTAGTAGTACATAAAAAATACATATGAATTTAACATTCATTCTGAGATTTTCAATATTTTACACCATTCGCATGAATTGTTTCTTATTTTCAGATTATGTGCATGTTAATTTAAAAATATAACTTAAAATGACTCTCCACTTTCCATGATTTCCACTTTTAGCAGACAGATAATACAGCTATTAAATGATATAGTTGTTGAAATGATTATTAAATGTTGATAATGATTTGTTATGTAGGGTTCAGCAGACAGATAAAACAGATATTAAATGATATAGTTGTTGAAATGATTATTACATCTTGATAATGATTTGTTATATAGGGGTTCAGCAGACAGATAATACAGCTATTAAATGATATAGTTGTTGAAATGATTATTATATCTTGATAATGATTTGTTATATAGGGTTCAGCAGACAGATAATACAGCTATTAAATGATATAGTTGTTGAAATGATTATTACATCTTGATAATGATTTGTTATATAGGGGTTCAGCAGACAGATAATACAGCTATTAAATGATATAGTTGTTGAAATGATTATTATATCTTGATAATGATTTGTTATATAGGGTTCAGCAGACAGATAATACAGCTATTAAATGATATAGTTGTTGAAATGATTATTATATCTTGATAATGATTTGTTATATAGGGTTCAGCAGACAGATAATACAGATATTAAATGATATAGTTGTTGAAATGATTATTACATCTTGATAATGATTTGTTATATAGGGTTCAGCAGACAAGTTATACAGGTATTAAATGATATAGTTGTTAAAATGATTATTATATCTGGAAAATGATTTGTTATATAGGGTTCAGCAGACAAGTTATACAGATATTAAATGATATTGTTGTTGAAATGATTATTATATCTGGATAATGATTTGTTAAATAGGGTTCAGCAGACAAGTTATACAGGTATTAAATGATATAGTTGTTGAAATGATTATTATATCTTGATAATGATTTGTTATGTAGGGTTCAGCAGACAGATAAAACAGATATTAAATGATATAGTTGTTGAAATGATTATTATATCTTGATAATGATTTGTTATATAGGGTTCAGCAGACAAGTTATACAGGTATTAAATGATATAGTTGTTGAAATGATTATTACATCTTGATAATGATTTGTTATATAGGGTTCAGCAGACAAGTTATACAGGTATTAAATGATATAGTTGTTGAAATGATTATTATATCTGGATAATGATTTGTTATATAGGGTTCAGCAGACAAGTTATACAGCTATTAAATGATATAGTTGTTGAAATGATTATTAAATGTTGATAATGATTTGTTATATAGGGTTCAGCAGACAGATAATACAGATATTAAATGATATAGTTGTTGAAATGATTATTATATCTTGATAATGATTTGTTATATAGGGTTCAGCAGACAGATTATACAGATATTAAATGATATAGAAATGATTACTATATCTTGATAATGATTTGTTATATAGGGGTTCAGCAGACAGATAATACAGATATTAAATGATATAGAAATGATTATTATGTCTTGATAATGATTCGTTATATAGGGTTCAGCAGACAGATAATACAGATATTAAATGATAATCAGATTGAGTTTGGTTATTTTGATATATTAACAGATGATGATGTCAGACAAGGTAAGATGTTACTGTGCTAATAATTCTTTTCTTTTTATCCAATAAACCATAGACTGTGTCCTATAGAGACTGGGAACTTCACAGGACATTCTGTTTGTCTGAATGGGACAAAGGCTGTGTGGGCTATAGACCAGGCTTGTTAAAAGGGCATTCTGCTTTTTTGTAAAACGTTTTCATTATCAAAAATGTTGTAAATTATACATGAAAATATCTCTAGAGTATGCTATTTTGACCTAGTTTTGGTGTTTGGCCTTATAATGTCTGGATTGTTTTTTTAGTTAAAACTTTCAGATACATTAAAGGGCACCTTTTTCCAGATTTCGGTGTATAGTTTTCACAAATATGAGCAAAAAACCTATAAGAGTTCACAATACAAGCCCTGTTAAAATGTCCTTCATTGCACACCACATGTTGCTTCTGTACCCTCTCACAATGATAAGATTTTGTGATTGTTTTTAAAGGTTTAAAGAAGTATTCAGACTGGCCAACATACCCTCAACTGTATCATAATGGTGAATTGCTAGGTGGCCTAGATATAATCAAAGAATTAGTGGAATCCAATGAATTATGTAGCACTTTAGGTGTACAAGACAAACCTAGTTTAAATGAAAGGTAGAATTTTCATCTTCAATTATGTCCCCTGTGTTATAACTTAGTTTAGTAGAAAATTTTTTTTTTTTTTTTTACATGCTCTTCCATTTCATGAGGTATAGACCAGTATATCAGTGGACCAGTCAAGCTTTGAATCCTAACCGGCCGTACATATATTTATACACGACAAGGACAACTCAATGGTTTTTAATCTTAGACAATTTTTAAAGGGATGAAGGTGTCTTTTTCCAACAGAGCCCAATTTCTGTTTTCTATTTCACTATTCAGAATTTTAATCTGGCATTAAGTTCTACTACAATTATTAAACATTAAAGTGATACATATGTATGTTTTATTTAATCATGTTTTTGCCAGATTAAAGTCTATAATCAACTTAGCCCCAGTGATGATATTTATGAAAGGTAATCCAGAAACACCTAAATGTGGTTTTAGTAGAACATTGGTAGATTTATTAAATTCTGAAAGGTAAGAATATGTCAATTATTCAATATCAGAGACCATTTAAGGACTTTAAGAATATTTTGCCTGGTATTCTATGTTGTCTGAGACTGTTAAGTTATTTTCATCATGTATGATCATTTTGAGATTTAATAACAGGAAGCATTTACTATTTTAGTGTTAATTAGAAGTTATGTTCTATTGGAATAGGGCAAAGTGGATGTGTTGGCGTGATGATTGGTTTCAAACATAACTAAATTTCATTATAATAATGATAACTTTTACATGAATGACATATCAAGGAATTCTGACGTTTTCTCTTTTAGTTTTTAAAGGAACATTCTGCTTTTTTGTGGGTAAAAAAGTTTTTGCTCAAATTTGTGAAAATTTTACACCATTAATATATCTGAAAGTTTGAACTAAAAACATCCAGTCGGTAATTTTTAATGCCAAAACTATTTAAACGCATAACTTAAGTTTACGTAAACTTTTTATGCTTTTATGGAAGCTCAATTTGATCATGTAGATACATAGATATAAATAGCATACTTAAGAAGTATTTTCAGATATCATGTAAGACGTTTTTGATCATGAAAATGTTTTACAAAAAAGCGGAATATCCCATTAATACCGGATTTCATGATTATCAGACACACCCAAATCTCTCAGTCCCAAAGATAAATGACATATCATGAATTTCTGACAGTTCCTCTTTCAGTTCTTAATATTGAATTTCATGATTTTCAGACACATTCAAATCAACTAGTTCCGATACTGGACTTAAATGACATACAAATGTTCTCTTTAAGGAAGGAAGCATTCTGTGCATTATTTATATAATTCCTTATGATAATCACCAATGATATCTGATTTCTTATAATTTCAGTATTAAATATAAAACATTTGATATCCTAAGTGATGAGGAAGTCCGGCAAGGATTAAAGAAGTATTCTGATTGGCCAACGTATCCTCAGGTTTATGTGAAAGGTGATTTGATTGGTGGATTAGACATCATTAAAGTAAGTTATTTTACATGATTTGGAATCGGTTTATGTCATTCTGTGTTTATGGAAAATTTGAGAGAGCTTTTAATTGGACTTCATTAAAAATACCCACATGGATAAACAAAGTGGCGTGCGTCTTCAACTTCATTGTCATAAGGTTGGAAACAATGGGCTCATGGTATCACAAACAAATTGATTACCAGACATCTGAGTTGAAGACTTGGAATTTTGAAATCTTTATAATGATATAGGAAAAGATATAAACTTAACCCACCTTTTAATATGTATAGGTTAATGAACAAAAGCAGTCCAATAAGTTCAATAATGATCGTAAGACAAGGACCGAAAAGAAGCTCATTTCCCATCTGGAAATTTCACAAATTTGGCTGAAAATGGGCCTCTGTAAAAGCAAATTTTGAAGACATAATATGCGTATGTTTATATATTGATCAAAGCAAAGGCATTTTAAGACTAACAGTACAATTTTTAGGCTGCTATTCCAATTCTCATAAAAATAGTATAAAAATTCAAAAAACTTTTTAATTTGGTCAGACAATAATAATTCTTCAATGGTTGTCATTTTCTTTCAACCAGACTTAGGACAGTCTAAGACTATCATACTGTTTTGAAGTTAATATTTCGATTTATAAAAAATTATAGGCGAAATGCGATTCGGTAAACATTACTAGAATATACTTGATTTTTTGTGGCCAAAACATCAGAGTCAATCATGAGTAAAATTCCAAAATAAGTCAACTCCATTTATTGTAAAGTAACCCCAAATGGGTATTATCAATCATGTTATGACGTCACAATTTGCCGCCATACTAAAAATAATGTACTCAATGCACAATGCCCGTACCAGTAAGTTGGATATCGGTCCACAAAGATCAAAGGGTGACGTCACATCTGTATTTTAAACCTAAATATGATTATAGAATTTGATACACTTAATTGTTATTTATAGATATTATAGATATCATAAAACCCTTGGGAATTTATATTCTAAATATAGTCAGTTATAAATATACCTTACTCTATCAACAGCCCGTGGAAATTTAAAAAAAGATCTAAGGGTTTTTTTTTAATTCTTTTATTTGCATCAAACTACTTTCAAATTTCTGTAATACCTTATAACGGGATATAATTGTTTATGCTCTTGTTATACTGACGGTCTCAGCTTTCTGTGCGTGTCACCATTTGAAATTAAAATCTGAAATAAAGCTACTGATAAGTGATAACAGTAATAATATAAGTTTGATATGCTAGAATTGACTATTTATTTATTCATTCATTCATTTATTCATTTATTCATTTTTTGATTTATTTATTTTATTTCAGGAGTTAAAAGAAGGTGGTGAATTACAGAGTACATTTAATCCTGAATGAATATTGATAACAATGATTGTAAACAATAACAATAAACAAATACTATACTCACTCATATCAATATTTATTTACTAAAAATACCTTATAGAGGTCTATATAAATATAGTTATATAAATATTTACTTTATCAGCTGAATCAGGCTGTTGATTTGTCTCTTTTTTCCGGACATGACTCAATTCAGCAATATGACAATATGAATCAGATCTTGTGTACCTTCAAATAATTATAAATTTGTTGAACATGATCCATACTGTTTATGTATTGTTATCCGTCATTAATATAAGATATTAATTATTGAACATTGAACAGAGAGGCAGCCCACACACCCCTGTAATAATGGGGCTTCCCCACAATGACGTCTGAAAATAATGGAAATCACCTGCGGCACAGCTGCGTTTCACCGGACAGAAAGTCCCGACATATAGCAACACACCGCAACAGCATGTATGTGTCATGTCAAATGCATACCCTTGTTTGTTTCGATCCGGTGAAACGCTCCGTTGAAATGAACGCATCGCATCGCCACATCGGACCACGAACCGCATGTATGTGTCTTTAGCTTTACAAGTAATACAAAGCTATGATACATAGTTCCCCCTTGCCCCTTTTTAATGGATACAATCAGATCTGTGTGGTGTTTGCAAAACTTTGGTCAAAATTTCCCAAACTATGACTAGAATGGAAAAAAGGTTTTTGTGAAAGCTTTGTTTCTAATAAAAAGCCATGATTGTGAAACTTCCTCCTCCCCTTCCCTCTTTTATATGGATACAATTTCCATTTACGCATAGTTAGGTCAGAACTGAGAGGTGTTTCTTTCTGTATGTCTATATGCATTACCTAATGATTGTAATAACACTATATTACAGTCAAGTTTTAAATTTCTTCACGGGTAAATGCATCTATATTTTTCTGTGGATGAAGTGATCATAATAAATAACCTTAAACCGAAACAATTGTGAATAAACAATCATATTTTTGGGGGGAAGAAATATCGTTTGTGGGTTCGCAAATAAAAATATCGATTAAGGAAATTCCCCCAAAATGAATTTTTATATTTTTGCAGAAATTGGATACCTATACATTAAATATGAAGACATCTAATCAACCAAATCTAATGACTTCTTTTGTTTCGTCAACAGAGGAAGTAGATCAACATCCGTACAATAAGATATAAAATCATTCACATTCAGAATGTTGTTTATTATTGCCTTTTAACTGGTTCTGGATAATTTTATTCTGATTCCAAACATACCTTTAGACGAAGATCATCAACCAATTTTACCAAGGACAACAACTGACTGCGAATTTTAATTTTGATAGCTTGCAGAGGACTCTCAACCAAACTAGATAGATTTCATCCAATTTTAGACGTACATTTTCATCTGATTGCAAGCAGATTTTTAGCCGAATCCAGATAGATTTTCGACAAAATTTACCAAGAACATCAACTAATTCTGAATATTAGTATATTGATAGCTTGCAGAGGACTCTCAACTAAATCTAGATAGATTTTCATCCGATTTCAGGCGTATTTTCATCTGATCTTTAGCCGAATCCAGATTTTCAATCAGTTCTGACTCTTGACTTATTTCAGAGAGATCTCAACCAATTTCAGACCTGCTTTCCTCTGATCACAGGCAAACTAATTGATCTAAAAATAATTATGGGTAAATATAATGAAATTGTCGATGAAATTATTCAAGTAGTTAAATTCTGAGGTTCGATGTAGGGTTCAATCTAGCGGCAATAGCCATTATTTCAGAGCAATAGATTACCAGAATCATTTTGTTCAATTGTGGTCTTATCATCATGCAGCAAAATTAACAAAAAAATGATTAATAATTTCTCAATTTTTTTTCAGTGTTTTTAATATTTTACATTGTATTTACCGCAAGCCAAACACCTTCCGTTACAGCCAACAGTATTGAGCGACATCCCGAATTGGAATTTTGTGAAATGAATACAGATTTAAAAAGTGTGATATTCTCTCCATGTACCACAACCATTGGATCACTTGAACAGATGCTGGATGAGGATTGTCAAGAAGAATATTCTTATGACCTATGTTCCGACACAGCTCTGATGCGTTTATTTGTAGAGGGTCAGGTTAGAAAAATGCGAAATAAATACGTAAGTATAAATGAAATAATCAATTTCGTACATAACCCTTTTTTCAAAAACTCCTTTTCAAAATAATTTTCGATACCTGAACACCCATTAATAGCGATGTCCCCTGTAAATATGAGGACATTTTCCCCTCTATCAGTTGCATTGTTTGTTACGAACACGACGAAATGTTTTCATTCTGAGAAGTGACACGAACAACTATATTTAATTAACTACGTTCGGGGTGACATCATTTCATAGGCTGCAAACATTATGGCATGGTGTTCACAGACTTCCTGTCGTGGTCTCTGATCGGCTGTATTCGCTGTCAAACCGCCGCATCTACAAACTTCCAAGATGCAAGAAAGGTGATAATATTACAGTCCAGTTATAAGTACGAAGTTTGTAAAAGCTTGACATTGTGAAAATGAGATGTTCATTACTTTGAAGCATTTATATTTTTCTGTAAATCTGCTATTTCAGTAATGAAGCCAAAGGAGGGACAGAGGGGGCGGCTGCTCCCCTCGCAGCCACGAAAGCATGTTTTTTGGGCAAAAATCTCATAAGTAGGTTAGAGATTCGGGCAATCTCAGATATCGCGCTCCCTCTCGGGCGTAAACCTGGCTCCGCAACTGAGCTGATGCTATCAAATGATTATATCTTTAATGATATGTTTGTATTTTATTTAGTATTATAGACTATATGAAGAAGAACGTGGTCTATTGGAATATTTTAATACAAGTTTGCCAACACAAGCCTCTTTAAATGTAAGTTTTCTATTGACAGGGTCACAGAATCGTAAATTTCTTCCAAGTCTCACAACATATGTAATAATCTTGGAAGTTTTGAACTGTTTTACCTCCATGTTTTCACAAATTCTGAAACTCTCCAAATATCCGAATTAGTATGGCTTGTTTTTCATGGTTTAGCAATCTAGTCAAGCGACCAGTTTCTAATTCGTATTTGTCCACATGGGCTGAATGTTAGACAGGACCAAGTTACTTCGGTCTAATGCAGCCGATTTTGACCAATTTACAATAAAGATATTTTCATTATTATTAAATCACACGAGAAGAAAGGGAATGGTTCATTTTCAAATGTTGACTGCTGAAAATGAGCTCTATGGCCTCCATACGGTAAAAATAAAACGATTATCTCTTTTTAATGGTAAATCAAATGCAACCTTATCTTTTGTAGGTTTCAAAAACATACGAAGATTTACAGGAATATTTTATAGCTCTGACATGTGCGGGAAAAGCTATGGACGATCACAAATTGTACGTAACTATGTCAGATAGTAATGTGCTGTGTGACGTGCTTCAAGTGACGAATCAACTTCTATGTAACATCGATAGCGCTGGGGAAGTCATCTTCAACAACAAGCGTCATAAAGACTCTCATTTAAAATGCCACCATGTAAAGAGACACGATTCGTCCATAAGTGAACTATTATTTGTAAATGTTTTGTCAAGTTTCAGAAGTTATCTGCTCTCTATGAAAGTTAGGTGCAATGCTCAGAATGTTTGTGACGACGACTACTAAAATTAAATCAGCATTCATAATAAAATTCAATATTCACACTTCATATACATATTATGTACAATAAAATATATAGCCTACCAGACCGCCGACCTGGCCTTAGGGAGTCATCTGTCTTATTTAATGGAACATGAATGAAATTCCCTTTGGTAAAACCTTTTTTAATATTTTTTACGTTAAAATGGATGTTAATATCTGTATATAGACGCATTTTCTTTTTAATAAAATATTTCATCGTTTATCTTATTTTCCATTTAATGAATTATAAGATGCAATATTTCTTCGTATCACTAGATAAGGCGGAGGGGAGGGAGATCTCAAATCGATAATTCAACTCGCAGAATATGAAAACAACTAGGTTTTCAACGGCAGATAGCAACCGGCTATATCTGATCAATGGTTCAATTGCGACGTTCTGAGCGCTCGGATAACTTAAAAATTGACATTAGTTGTCAGTGTTTTACTTTTTTTCAAAAATTCGATCTTGTCATCGACGCAAAAGAGTGATCCTCCCCAGTTGATCAAGTCGGCGAATTACAGATATGGAATGAAATGAATGGAGTTTTACGTCCTACTTTTCTGCACCATGTGGGCTTATAACAACGGGCTACGCCTTGCAGGGTACAAAGACATTTGCCTGCTCTTCTTCGATTTCCAACTATCGAGGGATCTTTAACTTGCGCAGCCTGTGACACACGGGACTTCGGTTTATTGTCCCATCCGAACGGCTAGACGCTTTTTCCATCCCACCCCTTCTTACCTGCATCGCGAATGAATCGATAAGATGCTTTTAATCGCCTGTAGACCTGGGCCCATGTATTAAGCCACGATTACATGTACGTAAGAGTAACTCAAACTCAATATCAAACTCAAATTCAAACGATGATTCAGCAAAACTGTCATCGTGTAAAGGAAACCGAGCGGTATTGGGTCAGTGAACAAAGGAGAAGAGGAAAGTCTCCTACAGCAATGAAATCATGAATGTGATAAAGGTGTCTGTTGTCATCCGTAGCGCAAAGGGAGGTGTTGAGTACACACGACACACGCAATTGCAGACTCTCTTGTACTTTGATGTAGGCATAATTATGGATGAAAACATGGACATATTATGCTGTCTTTTTACTATGTCATCGTTGGCATTAAATAACGTGCCAACAGACGTAATATGTACAATGAACATACAACTCACTAGATACTATTAAAAATTAGTCTAACAAAATGAAATTTCAAAATATAGAAACACAAATAATTCTGTTTTGCCTGTTTTAAGGAGAAGTAGGTTGGGTCGATTTCTCCTTCCAATTCAATAATTTTCGACTGTTTTATAAATGTCTCAGTAGTGCAAAAAGAAGCGGGTTTTGACAATGATATAATTATTTAGTCTTATACAGATATTATGTGGGTGTATAAAAAATGCAAACTCAAGCACTATTCAAATGACTTTTTCACCATAATAAATATTACGAAAATCAAAAGGCATGATTTAATAGCAGCTTAGAATTGTTTTACAACGATATCAAATATTAATAAATATAAACTGTTTATGGGACTAAATAACAGACTTTACGTCTCAATATCATAAATATACCTTTTTAAAGATTTGTCCAGGTGTATTGATAATAAACAAATAGTATGATAACTATTATTTTCTACCATCATTTTACAGGTAGACTATTAACGGAATAAAATCGTAACATGATTCCATAGATATTTAGCTGGTCTGAAAGGGCAAAAAGAAAAAACAGAACTCATTTTCTGCAGCGAGGGCTTTTGTCATTTCTTTGGCAAACAGCATACGCATTCCACACGGCTTCCTAAGATTCCGTCAATCCAGCCAAACCAGCCGAGTTGGACCGACAATCAAGCCCAAAAAGCCAAGTTGTAACCGATTGTCCCCCGGGGCCATTCAGCTCAATCAGCCGATTTGTCACCATCCGTCCCGATTTATTCTCAGGGACAAGGCATATTATTAGGATAATTGGCCAGACAAACCATTTCAAACAGGCAAAACAAACCTCAAGCCGATATATCAAGAACCCGATAAGACAAATCAAAGAGCGAAATTGTCATCCCACGTCCCGAGCAGCCCGAAAGACCAGATCATGTTCACTTCACCTTAGGGGCCCGATCAGAAAACAGAAATAGCCTTTTTGATGACATGTATTTGACGTTGATCATAGATTAACAGGACAGCACAGGGCAGGCAAACACGTACATGTGCCATCAAATTAGGAGTCAGGAGGCTCCGTAATACAAATAAGGAAAATATGAAATTCTGCCAATATTACTATACAACGGAAAAACTAAAATTCATATTCATGTTCTTCTGGGGAATAGGGGATGAGTGGTCACGGTCGCTCCGTTCTCATAGCACTCTGCATAGGCCATTTTTACTCCTCAAATCATGCAAACAAATTTCAGAATTCCAGTCATGCTTCTACATTTTGGAAGAATCGCCCCTCGCCCCTACCCTCTTGGTAACCAAAATACATAACAATACACGTGTTAAAAACTAAAATGGAAATAAAGTGAAGAATGTCTATTATGGTGTATTAATGACTCTAATATTATGGTAATTAAGGTGCTCTTACAGGTGGTGTTTTTTTATGTATTTTCTGCTATTTATATCGTGTCTTTCTCAGAGCATTTCAATTCCTGGTTTCATTAGGAATCTAGACAGGTAACAATATTTTCTCACATTCATTCAGGTCTGTATTTTTGATTGACCTTTCCATTTCGACTCGATTCGATTTAATGCTTGTTAAGGTATTTATTCATTTAAATATTGACTTAACCAGATAAAAACTCATTTTAAGCTAATCGTGTCACTTTCCAAAGTATAGACTTGGTCAAATTTTTAAACGAAACATTTTTTTAGGAAAATGTTAAATACAGTTACGATTAGACGAAAAAAAAAGAATGTTTGAATTTTGATTGTGATTTCTGCAGGATGAAGTGGTTACTCGTACTCAGTTTAGCTCTCCTTGTGAGAGGCGATGAACCACCAACACCCGTTCCTATTGATATCCCAGACACCGCTCCTCCAATTATAGACATTACAGATGACGACTCCAACGACGAATCTGAACATATAGTTGAACCAGAAGTAGCAGAAATCAACTATGACGGGGTAATAATTTAATTCCTTCAATTCTATAACAATAAATACAGGATTGTAAGTATCTTGCTCTGTAACGTCGAACAATATTAATTGATGGTTTTGGTCTCTGATAACTCTCGGCTTGAAAAGTTTGGTGATTTTGAAAATGCATCTGTCCTCATTACTCCACTCGAATCAACTGTTAACCGAGTAAGTTTAAGACTAAGAAAGTTAACCAGTTTGATAGGCAGAACCGAGAACATTATTTGTTGTCCTGGTAAATTATGATTGCTTCTTTTTTCGATTGAATAATTTTGCTGAGAGTAACTCTTGCTTGAACTCTTTAACACCATTCTTACGAGATTTTTTTTCGGCACTAATAATGGCTACTTTTTTTTAAAAAGATTTGATGGTCTGTACACTCTTATCATCAACATAGAAATTCTCAGCCAAAACACAAATGAGTTTCAGTTAAACAAAGTTTGATTTAAGTCAATACCATTATTAATTTGTAGATACTACCCGAGCCACCAGTGGATGATCATCAGAATGATACGGATGAATCAGATCTCGTTAGAAGAAGGAGATTTATAACAACCAGCACGGTTCTCTGGCCAAATAATGAAGTTATCTATTCCTATACTCCTAGTCAATGTAAGTTAATTATATTCTGCTGGTTGTCCACGAAGCTCTGTGAGTTATTCCTCGCTTATCTAGAGAGTCGTGAATCGATCCCGGCATATATTGAGGTAATTTCTTCGGAGGAACCGAAATGAAAAGAAGCAACTAGTTTGGATGGCTAAATAAACTGAGGTCCTGTGTGTTACAGATATTCCGGAATTTCGAATCGATGAGGATTTAACCAATGATAGAGTTTTCTTGGTATAGATGACATTGCACTCCTCGTCAATACTGGCCGACTTTCCCACTAATTTTGGTTTGAAGTTGAGGATAAAGTTCTCGACCAAAAACAAACAAAATACTGAAATTGACTTAATCCAAAGAGGTCACCCATTTCTATATTTATCCGCTACTACATTATGTATAAGCAATAATTGGTCAAACTGAAAAGGCACATGTAATGATTCATCATCATTATGATTCGTCATCATCATTTTATCATAATTATAGTTCCCAACGAAGGTTCAAAAAGCGCTATCATGTTCAGTATGGAATATTTAGTAGAAAGAACGTGTTTGAAATTCACTGAAGTAGATCAAACAACCTACACCAAGTCACATGTAAAGTTTGTCGTGTAAGTAATTTTATCATCCATAAATGTTCAGTAAGTTTGAAGACTAAAAGTTAAAAACGAATCCGATAATTCAAAAATCGGACACTCTCAAATTTACCAATCAAAGATTGTTCTTACTGTTGAAATCAATGAAAATATTTACGTTTAAACGTCGAAACCTGCACAGTGTCGTTCAAACCGCGGTTTTATGTCTTAAAAGGACAAAGATATGCTGGACTTTTTATAAGCTAGTTTAAAATGCAAGTTACAACCATTCACATTCAATGAAGTTCTGATAAGTACAGAAACGGCATGAGTTTGAGTGCCAGAAGTGCAGAATATCGCTACACATTATGTATTCTCGTTGGCTAAAATGTACATTGCAGAGGGAATGGTTGTTGGGCTGATCTTGGTTACAGAGCAGGATGGAGTACAAGATGTAGCTGTTGTTCCAAGGTAGGTATGTTCGTGTGCATCGATCTTGATGTAATTGAGTAGTGCATCCTTTATTCAGAAGACTGGCGCGATGTTGATCACTATATTATATCAGACAGGATTCTTCACATATCAATCTCATTAAGTCAACTATAGGTACATAAAATGACAAGAAAAATTAAATGTACCTGTAACTGCCAACGAAAGGGATCCAGAAAGAGCCGAGTTAAATCTGTGGTATTGTTACAATCGACTTGTGCCTTGTTAGCTGATAGAGTCTAATTTCACAAATTCGTTTCATTTCACAGTTGAATTATTGAAGCTTGTTCGTCTTTTTAGGGTACATGTTACCACGAAATGCTTCATTTGTTAGGTTTCATGCACGAGCATCAACGACCAGATAGAGATCGATACATTGAAGTCGACATATATCGAGTTGATCCAGGTAAACGTAAATGATTTAAACATTATTGAATTGAAGTTATCTCTCGTGTTCCAAACTTCTGTGTGTGACGATCTTTATTGAAGGAATTCTTCAACCGCAAATGGTTTATCTACATTATGTCATGTCCAAATTTAGAACACAATTGAAATAACTGCAACTTTGTAATTTTAACTTCCGATCTCTTGACTGTTAATCGGAATTGATATTATACATTAACCTTAGGCAAGTGGTCACAATTCACAAGACTGCAGGAATCTGGTGTGGATTACACTAATAAAAGTATATATAAAGTAGGTTCAACAATGCATTACGCTGGATGGGTAAGATATTACACATATTTTATGGTTTGTAATTGGAAATTATTTGTTAGGAATTGTTCTAACTAAGTACAATGAAGTCTGTTCTGTCCTGATATAATATACCATTGGTTCGATTCTGGTCGATGTCGTATAGAGAGCATGTCTACAGTACTCTTTGTTTTCTTTACCGTTAAGTCCAGATATTAGAAAAGAACCATTTTTCAGACCAGTTGTTCGGATTTATTACCTGAAACATGTTTTTAACACAATAGTAACGTCTAGTGAGACTAAAATCCTTGTTTCACTTGAAAATTTGTTTTTCCAGGCTTTTCAGAAAGATCATTTCGGTGCTTCTATAAAAACCGTCAACGACGATTATACTATGGCAGACGATTTCTACTACCCAATCAGAGAAGTCAATCTCCGTTACAACTGTCAACAAGGTATGTATTTCGATTCTAGATGCTCAGCGATTATTCCACCAAATTCCTTAGCTCCATTAGCTTTTTTAAAGTACAGATTCGACATCCCTTTGACTAATCGTATGTCAGTCCCAGAAACGGGTATTATTTAAACTCAGCTAATCAGTAATGTTGCTCATAACTCACCGTCGAAATTTGTGGCTTGAAATCCATTTGTTTCCAGAATTATCCGTGCTTGAAAGTTGACCACGCGTATTCTTCTTCAGACTCGGCCATATATAGTGAAGACAAATATAGATATAGAAAGTCATTTTCCTACATTTCTAGTACTTTTGAAGATTATTTACAAATATTCAAGACCCAAATCAACCCCCTTTAATTACATGAATGGACACTTTTTGGGTGGTTAGCGTCTATTGCAAATGAGTAAAGTTTGTATCTTTCAATTCTGAAGAAATCTCTATTTTAGAGTTCAAGATTACGGCCCCGGGAAATATTTCCTACCCACGAGTCCATATTTTATATTTGAATTTAATTGTTGATTAACATTTCAGTTAGCTGTGCCGATTTTACTACCGAATGCGTCAATAATGGATATGTTACAAAATATTTAGGCGAATGTCGTTGCGTGTGCCCAGAGGGTTTGTCTTCAAAGGATGGCTGCAGTAAAGCTCTTACATCTGGTAATTACATTTAATTCCTAAAATTCAAAGAAAAGACCTCAAATGATCTCGATGTCAATAAATAATTGTAGCTTTTAAATTAAGGATTAAAAGATTAATTGGTTCCCTATTGCGCAGTATGAAATCGTTAAGAGACTAATGATGATATTCATTGCATAATCTGCTTTTTCGGACACGTATGTACCAAGGATCATAAACGTAGGACGTTCTCAATTTTATGTACTCATAAGTTTCACATTCATTTCAGCCGACAGTGTTGACTGGCCAAGTGGTTCATATGCGTTTGTCGCCGCTGGAAGTGGTTGTCCATCAGGGTTTCTTACTGGCACTAGAAAACATTGGAGTGCTGGATATTCATGGGCTCAAGGAGGCGAAAACCCAATGAAAGGAACACAGGATCGTTATTCCACACAATACGAGTTTTGTGTCAGTAAAAATAACTTTCCCCAAAGTAAAAATAGATGGCATGCTGGTGTTTATTGTTTACATAGAGTTGGTGGAACTTGTCCTGAAGGTGAGTCGTCTATTTTTAAAGGTTCAGGAAAAGAAACCTTTATAATCATCTCTAGATTTAGCTCTTGATCGATTGAATTTCTTGAAACAAGGTATTTTCAACCCGGTTTCCCTATGACAGTGATGCAGGTAAGAAGGACTGACATGGAAAGAAAGTGGATTGGAAAATAAACCGAGGCCCTGTGTGGTACAAGCTATGCACGTTTAAGATCTCTCGACAATTGGAAATGGAAAAGAACAGGCTAATACCACTGCTCTGGCATAATTTCTTTCATTGTACCCTGCATGGTGTTGCCCGTCTTCATTAATGCACACGGTGCAGAAGAGTGAGACTTAAAACTCATATCATTTGAAACAAAGTACTGCTGTTGAATTAGCTATTTCCGGAGTACTTACAGTTCCAAAGTCTAATCATCCCCACATGAACTTCTGTTATTTGTTAAAGGGTTTAAAAGTGGTACAGTTCAATTAGATGACTATATCAGATCAGCTGGCTATTTTAATAACTCCAAAGCCGGCGATTTACCTGACGGCGTTTTTGGTGATGATACTAAATTTGAATTTTGTTGCCGAACTGATGGAATGAAAACTATACCCATTGAAGTCCCTACAACGAACGAGTTTGTCTTGTACAACTCCGATAACACAGTGAGTCCAGAATGTCAACAAGTTAAAAGTACGTAATCCTTTGCTAACGTCTCTTCATTCTTGTTCATTGAGTTTGTTTACAATGGTTATACGTTTACACTGATTATACTGTTGAATACGTTTACCCTGATTATACGTTTCTACTGGTGTAAACGTTTAAACTGGTTTATACTCTTATACTAGTTTTTGCGTTTGCACTGTTTATACGTTGCTACTGGTTTATATGTTGATACTGGTTTATACGTTGATACTGGTTTTACGTTATACTGATTTTAAGTTTATAATGGTTTATACGTTTACACTGATTATTCCCTGCAACATTATAATATTGATAATGCAACACCCAATTATTTTTTTCTGTTTTGACACCATCAAATTTAGATGTTATCATACCTGCGTTGACTAGAACACAGTAGCCTACGACAATAAATGTTTTTACTATGAATGCTAAAAAACCAAACATATAATTCTAGTTGATCCTACCAACTTACTATCTAACTCTATATTATCTTTCTTCTTATGGGATTCTCAACTATGGGCATCACATTTGTACATTTTTCTCTTCTTGAAATATATGGAATTAATATAGATGTTTAGGAGTAACTATAATATCATGTGTTCAATCCATTTCAGATTTCAATTCTAGAAAATTTTACTTTTCTTTCCACAACTTCGGAGGTGCATCGACAAAAGCATCATTGACCGGTTCTCGTCCATTTACTTATAAGTATAGCCAAACATATCTGTTTTATATCTGTCATTATATTCCTCTTGATCTATGTAAGTAAATACCGTTTTTATTATTATATTATGTAAGCTTATTCGAATCATTACCTTATTTCTCACAGGTGGTGAACAATATGATTGGTTAAAAAGGTGGACAAATCTTTTGTAGGTGGACACATTATGTATTTTAGTCCAGTCAGATTTTAGTTTGGGTGGGATAAACAGCTGAAGAATTGCATTTTAATTAAATTCAATTAAGTGCCAATTGCTTAAAGAATAAATCAGAATTCTTTTTTCTTCTTCAATATAGCATGTGGTGGTACAATAGAGCTAAATAGCAATAACCCATCCCAAACATTTTCAACACCAAACTACCCCCAAAAGTATGGATCTAATCAAAGATGTAATTGGTTGATAACGGTATGCAAACCTTATTATATGATACGAAATTATCCAATTTTTATCCGTAACAGTATTAGATTACAATTTCAATCAACATATTTATGCTTCCAAAGTGTTGTCGCATTTTTCATTCGGCCTCGACAGATTATATGTGATGATGTCAACTGATGGCAGGCCTTATAGGCGAATATTCATCAATTTTTGACAACTTACCTACATTCTTACACATTATTTTGTAGGCCCCAGAAGGAAGTAAAGTTTATCTAGATTTTGAAAATTTTGATGTACATTGTACAGATAATGTTCAAGTCAGAGTGTTGAATATTGGTGAAGTTCATACCAGGTAACCTTCTTTAGTAAATTCTCCTGATTAAACATTTAAATGCAGAGTTAAAATTGGTCTCCTCCGTAAAAGAGTATTAATTTTCCTGTACGTCACAGTGAGGTTCTCGTGTCCATATTTCTGTGCGTTTGTCTCTAAATCAATCTTCCTAGTTGTGGTGGTCCAGCTAGTTAGTCACTTGCTCGTTAACCTAGCGGTACGAGTTTCATACATGTATTTTAAATTTAAACCTGGCCTTTTAAATGTTAAGTGAGACACGTCTGACTAGCAATAGGGTCTGTTATACTTGATATAATATTCACATACTTATAGTTCCTTCACGCAATTTTTTTTTTACATTTCAGTTTCTGTGATCACAATGGCAAAACCTTCAGAAGTTATAGTAACAAAATGACAGTTATATTTACGTCTTCACAATGGTCAGAGGCTACCGGATTCCAAGCAAATGTCAGATATTTAACAAGTTAGTATGATCTTGATTGATCATCATTGTTGTCATTGTTGCGAGGATGTTATTTTTTGATAATTCATTTATTCAGTATTCACCACAATAAAAGTTACATTACAGGGACAGGTGTGCCATTTTGTTTGACCAATCGAATAGTCTCAGAAACGGGATTTCTTTTAACTAAGCCAATCAGTAATACTGTTCACAGCTCACTGTCGCAATTTCAGACTTCATATCCATGTCTGTCCAGAAATATCCGCGTTTGAACGTTAAATTGACGACTCGTGATATATAGAATAGACATGTATAGAAATAGTGAATAAAATTTCCAGTTTGAAGTCATTTTAAAGGAAGTATGCGATGTACTTACATTTCTCGTTCTTTTGAAGACTATTTAAATAAATATTTAACACTCAAATCAACGTCCGAAAATGGCGCATCTATCCCTTTAAGTATTCTTAACCACGAAAATTGTATAAAATATATGACATCATTTACTTAGAACCCTTACTCTTATTGTCACATGAATGTGAAGGACTTAACTATTAAGTGAGCCACTCAATAGAAAATTTAGCCATGAAACATGACTGTAAGATTCTATTGTATTTTCCAGACGAAGATAATTGTTATGATTTTGAAGATGATGGAGCATCGTATCGTGGTAATGCCAGCGTCACTAAATATTTTGAACCTTGTTTACCATGGAGTGAAACTGGTAACTGTAAATATTCAAGCCAGCATCCTAAGTAAGTGTAACTGTTCCCGAGATCATTCCCGTCTTCACTAAGTAGGACGTAAAAATCCATTCTTTTCGTTTGCGCATATCATTCTTCAGTCTATAAGTAAAAGTCCAAATGTTATATTGAATTTGAGCTTCACTGTGAAAAATACTGCGATAGTGAGACACGGCGAGCTTCGCAAACACCTGGTGTCACTCCTCGACTTTACTTGGTATCTCATAGTCCATATACCTAATTTTTTTTGTTTAAATTAAACAGAACAAATTGGCACAATGAAATCAATATTCCAGATATAAAATTAAAATCTCTTCCGGTCATAGATGGCTAGTCGAGTTGAACGAAAGGTCCAAATAATGTGTATTTTAACTGCATCAGACTTCTATCCATTGGCTATAAAATGTAAAAGGACAAATCTTATGTTGTAGAGATGCTTTAGCTGGTTTAGACAGTAATTACTGCAGAAATCCTGGTTCAGCTGAAAGACCATGGTGTTATACGGACGCTACAGACTGTACACGACGAGTATGTGATGTTTGCCAACAAGGTATAAACACACACTGCTTATTGGGCTAATACAGATGCAATCTGATATGAGGGGAACTTTGTCCAAGAAAAACCAATAGATTATGTTATGTGTAACGTTTACAGCCAATAGCATAAGAAAATATATATTAAACCGGAGATCTCTGAACTCATCATTATTAACATCATCAGCTATACTAATTCTTGTACTCATCATTACTAACATCATCAGCTATACTAATTATTTTACTCATCATTAGTGACATCATCAGCAATACTAATTTTCAATTTTTTTTTTCAGGAAAGGTACATGACACATATTCAGATTGTCAGACTCTCATTTCAACTGTTCCTAACTTTTGTTCACAAGATCCCAGAGCTGCTGCCAATTGTAGATTATCATGTATTGCAGATCATCCTTTACCAGCTAAGCCTGCTTCAAGTAAGTATAAGTTAACCTCAGCACATATGCGGTGTAAAATTGTGGAACCGTGATAATGAAATATATTTGGAGTTACATACATGAGTAGTAAAGTCAACAAATTCCCCGAATCCACAGCCTCCACCCTCTATCCTTTCTATCTGATTCAATAAGTTTTTTGTCATGGTCACCATAATTTACAAAATGTAACTACAAATGACTTTTTTTTAACTTAAAGGATCTTCTGTAAGTTGCAGTCCACCCTCTTCTGTTCCCTCTGATGGTACTACTACTGATGTAGCTAAAACATCTTATAACGTTGGTGATACAATTACATACACTTGTAACGACAACCCTGCGTCAAGTGTAACCTTGACTTGCTTAATTGATGGAAAATTTGATGGCTTTTCAAGTGCCTGTAAAAGTAAGTTTTGTCAAATATGGTTTGCTTAGTAACGTCGATCAAATAGTTGTTCTTGGGTTCTGATCTCTTCTTTTTTCATGATACCAGTCGACCATTTTATAAATAGTAAACCGGTATAGATCAATGCGAAGAGGTTTGACCAAGACCAGATAGTAGACAAGTGGTCGTTTCTTTGTTTCTTTCATCTTTGCGCTTTAAATGTAGTCATAAAAGATTTCCAGGCTCTACATCAGACTAAATAAAAGTAGCTAGTATTTTTGTGTATGGAATACAGAAGTGGTTTGCCTGTGCGACAGCTTTCAAATAGTACGAATTACAATTAAAATTATTTCTAGTTATATTTTTGCACGTAAATCAATCGAGCCATTCTTGGCTATGCCATTACCGTCAATCAATCATTGTTTCAAGAAATCCATGGCTTGTTAAATTTTTGCGAACTGTTCAAAGTGTATCCACTATTATATTCAATTTTAACTTTTATATTATGATATATATATTTCAAAATATTAATATCAATATTAATTGGCACATTTTTTGGTTATCCTAACTAAGAGATAGTATACCTTTGGAGGATGAATAATTATCGATAAGTTAAACTTTGCTCTCAATTTGGTCAGTTACTATTGTAAGACGTTTCTCAATAATAACATTTCAGTGTGTGATGATGGTTGGATGGCCCTTGATGGTATATGTTATTTCAGAGAACCCTTGCCAATGCATTACAATGCTGCTCGTACAAATTGCGAAGGCAAAGGGGCAAAACTGATTATGCCGAAGGGAAAAATTGCATATGACTTTTTAGTTCATAACAGGTAATGTTAAAGAATAATGCACCGAATATAAATTTTGAAATTACTGTTAACACTGGTGAAAAGGTCCATGTATGTTTGAAATTGGGCTATATCGGCTAGAAAAACAAATATTTAAACAAATGGACCTCTTCAAATTTAAATTGGTATGATCTAGAACTATATACTGACGGAAGAAGTTTGCCAAAATGCAATTGAAAGACTTCCTCAAAAATTTTTATATTTATTTTTTCCATTTTTTTTTTCAGAGACGAAAGGGAAACATGGATTGGTGCCAATGATATCGCAACTGAAGGTGTTTGGAGATGGCTTGATAACACTATTATTGATGCGGATGATTTACATTTTGGATACGGTCGTGAGTAGAATTTGAGACATTTCCGCCCTTTAGTTCCTAACAGATGACAGGTTAGAAAGGACTAATTTGAGTGGTCAATACTATTACATGCTTATGTTTTATATGGAACCTAAAACTCAGAAAACTATATGAAATATGTGTAAGATATTCTCTTACAAGAAGGATTATAATTTCCAATCACCTGATAACCAAAAGAATATTGAATAAGGATGATTGAGATTAGACTAGTATTAGGGAACACAAACCAGTGATTCATTTGACATCTGTTTCAATCACGAAATTCAACCTTCTATAACTTTTTCCACAAATCTCGTTGAAAACTTTCTAATATGTCATATGAAAGCCTGGCAAATACTTAGTTTCTGAAAAATAATTCAATATATCATGAACTGAAAATAAACCACTACATTTTATTAACACCCGCCTGACTTTTTGCAATTATCCTTCCGTATGAAAATCTCTTAACATCTGCCTAAATCTGAAAGAAAATGCTATTTCAGACATCAAATTCCAAATCTAGACAAAAAATAGGCATGCAAAAAAGCATTGTGACTAAATATTTGGGAGATCTTACTTCGATTTCTCCGTTTCCCAGGAATGACCAAACAACCAGTAACCGTTAGCTGAATTCACCTCACTGTCCACTGCAGAATAAAATTTCTCCCTTTTCAGAACCATCAAATGTAAGTGGTCGGGATTGTGCTAGTCTACTGTCTATTAGAAATAAGATGATTTGGGTAGATAAAACGTGTAGATATACGAGCGTTCGTTACAATGTTATATGTGAAAAACCAGGACGTTCAGGTAACATATTTTCTATCTTTCCAAGAAATAAATTGGATTATTTTCGCGTATAATTGATTCGGTCTTGGAATCACAATTGGGTATTGGGTTTTCACCTGGCAATTTAGCAACTTACACAAGTCATTGACAGGCCCCTCTATAGGCTTAGTCTTTAATTGTTCAATGGAAAAGTATCAGTAAAATCATTTAGTTCTTGCAACTAATACAGCAAGTCGATATTCTTGAATGATAAAAAACTGCGTTTGTTTTAATTCGTCGTGACCACTTGATTGTGATTATATTTGAAGTGTAGGAAAGACGAAAGGAGCGGGAAGCTCTTTTGAATATCTCAGGGTTTTAAAACACCTGCATGATTGGCTGTATAATAAAGAATTAATCAGAACATACGTTCATTTTTCTGACTACATCCCTGTCTGTCTTCAGTAGAAACAACTGAGATAACACCTCATTTCTACGAAAATATATAGAAATATTTTATGCACGTTAAAATCTGGTCTGTATATTGCTTTAGAAGGTTGAGATTCAGTTCAGATACATGGTAGTGTTATACTATTTTAGGTACATGCCATGACGTGATTTCTGACTGTGCTGCAAAAGCTAGTCAAGATTCGCAATTCTGCAGTCCCGCAAATGCATTGTCCTCATTATATTGTAGAGGATATTGTGGATGTGGTATGTATCTTTCTATTTAAACAAACGTGTCAGACTTTCGACTAATGAGATTTCGTCCGACATTGTACATGAAAACATGGAATAAAGTTCAACACGCAATTATATTTTCTTGGCCAACAATGATTCTATTACGCAATAAAGTTCTCTCTGTCAGTTTGCAATATTTCTAATACGCAATAACGTTCTCGTATCAAAGTCAGTTATAGCAAGAATTCTAATGACCATGACCATTGGCTTTCCCTAACCTAAAGTCATTTGGTTGGAAAATTCATTTAGATGGAAGTGGAATCAGACCTTCATTGGCTTTCCTTAATGTATATTTCCTTTCAGTATTTTTCCATTATTTTTTAAAGGATTATGATTATATATTTTTATAGGTGCAACTTGTACTGAACCAAGTGTAGTACCGAATTCGGCTATAAAATCAAATACTCAAGAGCAACTAGTTCGTGAATGTACCTCTGGATACATGGCAACTTCTGGCGACTTAACAAGATATTGTTTGGGTGATGGTTCATTCTCAGGATCAGCTCCAGTCTGTGAAGGTTAGTTATTGTATCTGATTTGATTAATATACAAAAGATGATACAATCGCCATTTTCGTGTAAAATAATGTTTAAGTCCATTCGCTCGCGAGATCTTAGCTTAGGTGTAAATATTAAAATACTATAGGGAATAACTAATTCAACGGTCAGAAGATCGTCGACTTTTGACAAGCAAAGGAATGACAGGGATATGAAATTTATGTTTCAATAGCTTTATGCTGTCTTCGTTACCTCTGGGAAGTGGGAAGTTTCCTACTAGTTACGACTGAATTCATAATAATTATAATATCACACGAGTCCATTATATTATTCAGATTGGATGCCCAACATCACAACTCGTAATATTATTATGACGTCATATGTCGACAACTCGATATAATTTTAGCTACCATTTACCATTTAGTGCCATTTACCACTTCGGAAATCGTATTTTCCATATTTCTCAGGTGCAACGAATACAGCATTATGTTTGTGTCTTATCCATCACCGATATAAAATCACTTGAAATGTTGATTACAGATTCTTTGATAGTTAGAAAGAGTAGGCTAATGCCGATGCCTCATATTGCACCCGATATGGCGTTATCATTATTTCAATAATGATTCAACTCAATACCATTCTTTCATTACAGATGAGACAAACGCGAATGTTGTAACACCAACAAATAATGTACCACTAAAGGCTCGAGGTCAGAAAATGTCTACTCTTAAAGGTTACATGTTCACCGGTGACTATGATGACTTCAAGATTCCTCGAGCTGGAGAAATTATAAGCTGGGAATACTTCAGTGCACATTCTGGTAATGTTGCTTTAATGGCATTTAAATACAACGGAACAGAGTAAGTATTGTTAGAGCTTTATCGTGTGCAACTTAGTAAAAACAAACCTTTTGTTCTAGATTTAAAGTATACTATTTTTTTCTTTTTTGTATACTATAATATACTACATATAGGTGTATTTGAGATTGAAGATGAGGATCGAAAAATTCTCTTACTATTAACTTACGGAAAAACACTTTTAATCGACGTTTTATGCTCTACTTTGCCGCATCTAATTGAGCTAATGAAGACGCACAGTGTACAACGAGGTAATGAGTTGACAGGAGAGCGCTATTATTCAAACCACAAAGCCTGTAGCAGACGGTGTTTCGGTTGATTGTCGCATCAAAACTTCTTTTGTCATGACTGATCATAAAGAAAATCTCAAACAATTTTCTTTTTTCAGTCTTAAGATTGTTGGCTTTAATTACATAACGACTCAAAGTTCAAGCGCAATACACTCAATATATCAAGTACCAATAGCTGATAGAATTGATGTTGAAAAGGGTGATAGAATTGGTCTATGGTTCCCAGAAGACAAACAGGTTATTGAGGTTAACTTCCATGAGGACTCTCTGGAATGGAGGTACCCACGAAAACAATTTCGAAGAAGTATGACATCCTTGGCTAGCACAACCGATTTAGTCATAGGAACAACTTATGGGTTCTATGTATCAAGTTCGAGCACAGCAGAAGGGAGAACTTTGTATGGTTCCTTTTCGCTCAGGGCTAACATTGGGCCTCGTACATAAAACGGAACAAACATGATGATAAACAGTTATTGATGAATTAAACATATCATATTGCATGATAATTGTGCGTTTTGATTTAGTTATATTTCCCCTCGTTCGCAATGTGTTGTAATCCAACACATCGATGATAGTCGAAAGGTTAACGTTAACACTTGCAAATTCCCTACGAATGAGTCGTCATCCTTGTGTCACAACCTCAAACTATGGAAATACCATGTGAAAGGTAGCAAAAGATCAAAGTAGTGCTAAATGGGCGTAATGTTTTTGTAATTCAAATCCACGTTGGGTGATTTATTATCGGGGGAGTGAACAACTCCTGGAGCAACCTGAAACATTAACAGTTCTAAATTAACCCGAAATTCAGATATTTACCATTGTCTTTGCAGTTTTATACCACCCCGACCCCCTCCTACCATCTTGATTGTGCGAAAAGATCGCAGATTATATCTATTGGTTATCCAATTAACACGCTGGACAATATTGATCAATTTGGTTATTGGCACAGTTGCACATTGTGACAAAACGAGGTTATATGTCTAAAATCGTAGGGATATCGAAACGGACTCGTCACAGTCCTTAAGAGACTCATTTACAACATCATGGATATTTCTAGAACACTTGAATAGTCATTTAACAATATTCATACCATGTTTCATTTAACGAATACCTATGTGACAGAACAATGAATAGGTTCACACAGCCGATATTTCAACATCTTTCCTGAACAGATCCACAAAAACATAAAATAATTAACACAAAAACACCCATCTGAGAATGAAACAAAGGTACAAAACCACGTCACAGGAAACCGGAACATTTAATTACTTGTATTGAACACAATCATGTAATTTGATTCCTAGCCTTTATTTGTAATCATAAAATCAATCAAACGAATTAATAGCTGGACGATTTTATATTTATATGTTTCCAAATTTACAAAATTAAAGTTTCCTTATGTCCAGCACTGTTTCACGAAACGAAACGAATTATGGTAATTTTACAATAATAGAAATATGCCAAATATAAAAGCCCTTGTTACTGAAATAAGATAATTCATCTCAGAAAAGCCATGGGTAAGAGAGGTAACATTCAATATGCTTGCATGCTTCTATAGTAGATATGTAGGACACAGTTCTCAGAAAAATTTGTATCGGAATAATTTGATTGTCAGAATTCTGACAATATTGGTTGTCACTAAATCTGTAATTATTGATTGTGTCAGTAAGTGATGCCGTCACTAAATCTGTAATTGTAATTATATCAGTAAGTGATTTCGTCACTAAATCTGTAATTATAATTATATCAGTAAGTGATGCCGTCACTAAATCTGTAATTATAATTAGGTCAGTAAGTGATGCCGTCACTAAATCTGTAATTATAATTATGTCAGTAAGTGATGCCGTCACTAAATCTGTAATTATGATTATGTCAATAAGTGATGCCGTAACTAAATCTGTAATTATAATTATGTCAGTAAGTGATGCCGTCACTAAATCTGTAATTATAATTATATCAGTAAGTGATGCCGTCACTAAATCTGTAATTATAATTATGTCAGTAAGTGATGCCGTCACTAAATCTGTAATTATAATTATGTCAGTAAGTGATGCCGTCACTAAATCTGTAATTATAATTATGTCAGTAAGTGATGCCGTCACTAAATCTGTAATTATTATAATTATATCAGTAAGAAATGTCGAAGGAATGTTGATATCAGTTGTAGAATGCTAACAATTCATACTTATTTTTATTTTTAGAACTGTTCCAAAAGTTATTTTGTGCTGCCTTATTAGCCTTACTTCCATCTCTATGTATCGCAAATAATGAATACACACCGCGACCGTATTGTGGATTAACAAAAAACATTAAGATAGGCCTTATTGAACAACCTTGCGGCACGCCTATTCCACGAAATACAACTTCCACGAATGTCGATTTATGTAGGGACACAATGAGAATGCGATCAACCATGAAAATCCAAGTCCGTAACATGTACAACAAATACGTAAGTTGATAATGTAAACTTTCATAACATGGAAATTGATACTTAAATCAAAACGCAAACAACAATTTACTGGAAAAAATAATCATATGAATTAGGAATGAGGAGAAAATACATTACAGGATGCATATTGTTGACTCGTTTTAGTAACACCAAGCCATTCTTTTCCAATATCCAACAGACGAATCTTTTCTTTATATTTGTGATTGTTTAAAGCCTGTTGTGGATGGGGTTTTGGGCGGTTCTAAATAATATCTGTCTCATAATCAGACATGATTTTTCGGAGGGGCATGTATTATATCCAGAGGGACAATGGTGTATTATGTTTTGATAAAGTAATTGAATTGGTTTCTTGTCTGAGGTTTTTCCGGGGCGGGGGTGGGAGGGATCCAGATATTCGGAAACAGACTGCGACGATTCAATGACAAACGAATCAAAGACAATCAAAGGACTAAAATCTAAATTGGACAAACCAGACTGCAACATTCAAACAACGAATATCACTCAGGCGATCTAACGAATAGGGCTTAACAGATCTCACGACTTTGTAATCAATTTGACCAGCTTTACGTTTAATCAGACTGAAACAATCTAACGACCAACTAATGAGATTAGGACGACCATGTTATAACTTGCCATGTTGTCACCAATGACCGCTTTCCAACGGTTTAATGTTTTATAAAATGTTTTATTTTTTTAGAGGAACTACATTTCTAATCAGTCCAGACCAAACCGATTTCAACACATAAATACTTGCTTACCGACAAGAGCATCGCTAAATGTAAGTTAGTTTGACAATATATCGATTCATTTTTTTCTTGCACTTTTCTGCGCCCCTACCAATCTGAAGAACCCAAATTTGTTAGGGAATGATAACATGTCAGTCGTGTAAGCAAATTAATCAACGACACACGCTGTAACTTCCTTTTTGACGTTTAAGGACTGTAATATAATTATATCTCGAATTTCTATAAAACTAATATACTGAATTTACTTTGGAAAATATTAAATATCTCTTGTAAATGTAAATGATATTGACTAAAATTACAGTGCCATATCGAGGTCTGAAAGATATTTCCTTTAATTTCCTTTCTTATTAGCTACAAACCAATCAGCTATGACAAGACTTGTCCTGTACAAGCTTTATTATATTAGCTCTGTGTTAGATTTTTACACGTCATGTTTTCCCGCTAGAGAGTTAATTCTTATCTTAATCATTTTAGGTTACCAGGACATTGAGAGACTTACAGATCTACGTTCTAGGATTATCGTGCATAGGAGAGGCTATGAATTATCGTGGAATTTTCCATTCATCGGAATCATGGATAATGGTTGGGCGTTTCCGTGAACCTTCCGACTCTGGTATTCTATGCTATGTTTTGAACGACATCAGGCAAATGATGTGTGTTCTTTCTCAAGACGACGAAGTTGGCGAGGGGCACCATCCGAGACATTTTCATCAGATGTTGACTTGCAGTCAGTTTCACAGCTTCAATGACTCTGGCCGTCGTGATCGTCTTTTTGTCAAGATTTTGTCCGATTTCTTTGACTATCTGAACTCCTTATCACACCATTGCTGCACACAGTAGATTGATGGACATAACGAGCCAACACTACTTTTGCTTCTTAAAGCCAGAGACTCTTGTAGTAAACAAACTTAATGTATCTTCTATGAAGAAAATTGTATTTGTATATTGTTTTATTATATCGCAGTTATTAATGTACATTTTATCTTGGATAATATAAATATTATATTGAAAGAGATAAAGTCTTAAAATATTTAGCTTATTAATATGTTTCCATATTTTTTATGTTTTTCTTTTTATTTATCAACCTACACTTTCATTTCATTAAATTATAGACATGGACTTCCATTTTCTTTATTGATTCCAATACCATGGATATCTGAGATTAAGAGGTGTGTTAGAACACATATTCAGAATACTATATCTGTTGAATATTAATCCTGTAATGTTTTGAATTACAAACTTATTTCCAAAAAAAACAATCTTGCAGTTGTTTTTCTCGTATTATTTTATGGGGAGCCCATGTATTTCACTCCTAAAATGATCGTGATTTTACTCGATGTATTTATTTAATTATGGTCCAGTACAAATAATTCAACTTTAAAATATTATCTGCCTTGAAAAATATTTTTACTACGACGGACTGTACTAAAGTTAGCCTCTGCCATTGAGTCACTCTTTGTCTACGTACAGGTCTTATGAAAGTTCTTCGGGGGCTATAGGTCGTCCAGTTTAGACCCAAAATATGAGTGTAGACCAAGTTAGACGGGAATCTGAATTATCTAAAGATACGATAATCTGATACGTGAGGAAATAATTCAAAATAATATGCGATACGATCATTGCTGTATGTCAAAAATTTGAGTCGCCCTAGCCTGCACGAAAACTGTAATTATGTGGGGATCAAGTAGTACAACACAGAGGGGGACATGGAAACTTTTTTTGTAAAAGTTTATCATGTAATTACATTGAAAATATGCAATCCCACCTTATGACCTAGTTAAGAGATTATGATAACTCAGTTATATTTAAAAAAGATACACACTACCACAATGGTTGATTTTTACCTATAAAAGTTACGTCACAAAGAGAAAAGATAAACTAAGAGATTTCACTGAAAACTGATAAATAGGCGTGCTATAATTCAATATGTTGATAATCGACGAAATTGCTCAAGATGTTGACAATGAATGAGTTAACTAAATATTTGCTTTCCCAGCTAACAGAGTTGGGAATTCCACTCATTACAGGATGTACGAGATATGAAGGTACAAATCAATGCTGACCCTCCTACCTTATGACCTAGTTCGAGCATTAATATGACCTATAGATCTCTCTAATAATGAATCCCTGTTAGACTGTTACCTAGGTTTAGATTTTTAAAGTTGCCAATTGTTAGATAACCCTTAATACTTTATATGTAGTCCGTGTTATTTTCAGAAATCCTCGTTCTCAATCCCTTTTAGCTTTCTGCATGCCTATTTTTGACTAATTTATGGTCTAGAATTGGAATTTGATGTCTGAAATAGCAAATTTTTTCAGATTTTGTGAGATGATGAGAGATTTTCAAACAGAAGGATAATTCTAAAAATAGACGTTTTGCGAGCAGGGACAGTCAAGCGGATGTTAATTAAATGTTGTGACCTACTTTCAGTTTGGCTACCACAAGATTTTCATGGTCATGAAATGTTGAATTTTTGTTCAGAAACTAAGTATTGGTCAGGCTTTCATGTGACAACTTCGAATGTTTCAATGAGATTTCTGGAAAGAGTTATAGATGGTTGAATTTCGTGATTTAACATGGAAACAGCTGATGGTAAATGAATTAACGATCTTAGTGCATATGAACTTATGTAAATGGATTCGATGATTTGATTAACCAGACTTCATTTTACATCTTGAAATATTATACACTGTATAGAGTTTTTCATTTTGCAACAAATTTGATTACCACCAGCATTCAGATCTGAACTTTCGTGGATATTTATTTGAACTTTATATAGGGGCAGATGCGCCAGTTTGTTTTGACAAATCATACTTTATTCTCAGAAACGGGAAATTTTTAGCTAAGTCAATCAGTAAAAGTGTTCGCGGCTTACCGCCGAAATTATATACTTCACATCTATTTGTGTCATTTAAAGATACTCTGTGATATACATAAAAATAATGAGTAAAATCCCTAACAACTAATCATTTAAGATATTCTGTGATATATAGAAAAGACATACATAAAAAATAGTGAGTAAAATTCCTAGTTTGAAGTAATTTTAAAGGTTTCTCTACTTTTCTCGTACTTCTGAAGACTTTTAACATATATTCGAGACTAAAGTCAACTCCCCCCCCCCCCACCTCCCAAATGACACACCTGTCTGTTTAAAGTTAATACAAGGGTGTATTTGCATCGCTTTGTTACTCTACTGGATTTTATGCAAGGATCAATTCCAATATACAGACAGTATGCACAGTTTTCATTATCAAAAACGACGTAATTAATCCCTGAAAATATTTTATAAAGTATGCTTTTTATATGGGCATATATTGTCGTCTGCCTGTATACTTACGTAAACCGTTTAACTGATTTGGGCCTTAAAAAAATTATTGGCTGGATTTTTTTAGTTCAAACTTTCAAATACGTTAAGGTATTCTAGATTTTGGTGTATAATTTTCACAAATTTGAGCAAAGATTTTTCGACCTACTAAAAACGGAATGCCCCTTTAAATGTCACTGCGATGACCGTATCAATATAAGCTCAAAATAACAACAATGATTGTAAAATGATTGTATCTAGGCCAAACTAATCTTTTTTACAAGAAGATAGTGTAGACAATTTCGATACAAATAAACAAGAAAAAAAAATTTGGAACCCAAAAAATCAGTTTAAGTACTGCTAGCGGATATTCTAACTCTACTCGTGGTTTCTGTTAAGTGAATAGGATAAACCCCTTAAGACTCTGCAAACCAAAATTTCTTTCAGATTTACTTTACTAAAAACAATAAGACCGCTTGCCAGGCATGGTAATATACGCCCACTGGCAGCTTTCATTTGGAATAGAAATATTTGCCAGTACTGTAACAATCACCATTGGAGCGAACTGAATAATATTTTTCTGATTTTCAAAAGGGTTTATCCTATGATTACAAACACTCACACCTAGCTTCGTCAAAGTCCGTCAAGAATTGTTCCTTCTAGAGTGTGTACGTGCTAAAAATTGAACGCATTTTCAAGAACAAGGGCAATAACTCATACAATATGATTTTCAATAGGGTTCATTCTGGGTGATAACAACCACTCACACCAAGATTCGTCAAAATCCGTCAAGTATCGTGCGCCCTAGAGTGCCTACGAGCGGACAGACGGATATGGGTGACGCAAATATATGCCCCCATTTGATGTGGGCGTATAACGACAGCTCCAAAGGGATTGATGAGTTCATGACAGCGTGGCGTCAAATGTTCCATAAGATTGGACATCATACATAGTTCGGTATTACTTTTTATCGAGAGGAAATCAATGGATTACTCGTTAGAGTACAATTTCACTATCAATAAGCATTGAATTGGAAATATTAAGTACATATTAGGCATGTTCTCTCAAAAGATTGATGAAGCTTACTGCAAGTAGTATTACGGTGGAGTTAAATATAGATCACTATACAGCTATACCGAGTATACTATATTTATGTTCTTAACTTGCGGTTTAACTGCCCGCTTATTATGTTACCTGTAAATTGTATAGTAGATACATGCAAATAAATTTATTTGATAATAATTGTAACTGTGAAAGACGTATTTCGCTATTGTATGTGAGTGAACTGCTGTTTACAGGCCCACGCCCCTCTATGTCCTTGGTTTCTAACATTAAGAATATTAAGAATCCTTAAGAATACGCTTTAAGGCCGTATAAACAAACTCTGAACATAGTAGACTCTTCTCCTGTAACGAATGCCACCCCGTAAAATTCAGATTTCAAAGTAAAGAATGTTTTATTGGCTAGGAGTTTCATGAACAAAAGACAATCTGAGCCTTTTAGTAGGCCTAGTATTTTCGGACTGATGTTGCAATTCATATAAAATGATTTCAAATGGTATTCGGTGGCTTCTGTAGTCTGTGGCGCGAGTAATTGTGTCTTTCATTTACTACCAATTAAAAATTCCTATACGTACACTGCCAAAGGTACAACTTAAAACCATCTATTCGTCTCTTTAAACAAACAACATATTTTATGTATGTTAAGTATGTGACAAATGTGTTATACTGTATTATACTCCCCCATAGCGGTTAAGTCATACATGATGATAATATTTCATTCATAAAACTGAAACTGGAGGAAATCTGAATGAATCACAATATAACGGTTTGTACTTTCGGTGATGTAATCTCAAAACATAATATTTACTTTTCTTATAATTTGTCATCATTTCCTATTAGTTTGTCGGAGAGAGGGGGTGTAGAGGCAGTGGCGGTGCCAGCCACCCTAGACACGAGAGCAAATAAGAGACAGACTGAATTATAAGGGGTTCAACACTGTCTAGGTTGATATTCAAATGCTGTGCAACTCTGTGGAGCCACCATAAGCACAAGCCTCCCACTGAGCGTCTAAAGGGCTTCCTTCCCGAGAAAATGTTCGATGGGACATTCATTACCATCTCTGACACCGTAGAAGTGGTAATGACTTTTCAGAGAGGGGCTAGGCGAAGACATGTATTAGAACGACATTGGATGTGGGAGGAAGGGGGGGGGGGGTAGCTATTATTTCACAAATCAATCAGAAGTGAGTAGTTTTCTGGGGAGAAGATGTACGAATAAACCAGTCTGATTTTCATTTCAACCAAATCATTGTTTAAGCCAATCATAGATCATTGTACTATTGATTTCAGACAAAAACTAATATACAAATATAGCAAAAACGTTTGAGAAACTATGACCCATATAAATTTTTTTAGATGTTTAAAATATGAAACTACACTGTTACAGAAAAATTTGAACATAAGATTTTTTCAACGCATCACTTTTTAATAACAGGGAAACAAAAGGATGCGTAGGCTGTTGTGCAAATATAAATATGAATATCCGCAAATTAGAGATATGAATCACAAAATAGTTTTGATATAACCTTTTAATAAAACTGCTATCATATCTTAAAATCGCGGTCACCAATGTAGCCATCACAGAACACACACGGATCTGCCTTCCATTTTATTCCCTGAAAAGTTTCAGTCGTAGTTCCCCAAAATCTTAATCTCAAGTAGAGCACATCACCAAGCCGGAAATACTTTTTTTATATACCTTATTAAAATTTTATTTGATATGTGCAGTGTTTACCCTTTACAATTTCCCACACTATGTATCGATGTATAAGCATAACGTCCGTAGTAAGGTATTCCGTTTACAGTACGACTAATTTGTCATGTAATTTCTGAACTGTATTGATGGGAGAAATCCTAATATTCTTGAGCATTCTTCCCGCCGATGCCTTTGTTAAGAGGGAGGGGGGGGGGGGGGGGGGGGGGGGGTAATGAGATCTGTTGAAGTGCTCTGACCTTTTACCAGTATGAATATCATCTTGTCAGTACAGAAATTTATGAAAACGTTTGTCCCCGATGTCGAGAAACTGTATATGCCTTTAGCTCTCAAGAATGACTGGCTACCAAGGCTACCCTTCTCAGAGTTCAAACAAATCAAATACAAAACCGTAATGCCCAGTGTTTCATTCATGAATATTCCCGTTTCAGTGATGTAATTAACATTATTGAATAATACTTTTGGTCTTTCCATTGATGAATTCACGATTACCAAAATGTAATGACATTCCTTTAATCTACAAAAATACACACAAAAGAGAAACTAAGTAACGTTAGTCGGTATTTTAAATAAGATCTACTTGATATACTTCCTTGTATTAAAGGAGTTAGAGTCCTTACTTAACAGTCTTGGCCCGATTCATTCATGACCTATGTCAGCCAACAGAATTTATTTTTTGGTGCCACCACAGAGACGAACACAATGTTTGTTTTCCATTCAGAAGAGAGCTTCCTATACGTATGTGACACCAAAAGATTCAATCGACATCGAAGCTAATATTTATGACATTATCTCTTTAACTTGTATACAGGTAATTTTTAAATCTATGATCTGTGTCACACATCAAATATACGTTGTGGATAAATTTAGATTTTGCACTATTAAAAAAGTGGGAAAATCGGTAATTCATATTTCTGGAAATATCTCAGATCAATATAAAAAGGGACAGCATGGATTTAACGATTTATTTTGTTTTAAGACTTCAGAATGAAAGGTACGTGGTGTTTTTGTGAATTTTTCAAATTTGGATTTCAACAATTACCATGCCAGTGAGTCTGGGGTTGCCTTTGTCACACCTGATGTCACTCTACGACCGGCTCAGCCATTCGGTGTCTTTTTTAGGGAGTAATTATTTATGTTACCTTTGATATGATATCTTTGGGAGGCGAAAAATATGTCCACATCAATGTTCTATTTTTTTGTGGCAAAACGTGGAGTTTTGAATAATTTTAGTCCAATCCAAAGTCGAAATTTTATTGGGCTCTTGAACAATACGGGTATTTTTTTTTATCAGAGACCATTATAATGTTCTCCTTTGCTGAACACCATGTACCACTTACATTGATACGATTAGGATTGACAACTGGGTATCTCACAAAAACGTATACTCACAAAAGAGTATTTCTTCACCATGTTTATCATTGTTTCTCGATCATGTTTCGTTATTAAACCAAATAATCTCTGTTTTAACACTCTCGTTCGATGTAGCATTTATCAGCATTGTCAAAAAGGGCTTTAAGCTACACAACTAAATTATCTTTATATTTGCGAAAGCATATCATTGAAATTTATTTTTATAAAATATATAAATTCGTATATAAGCTGCGAATATATATGTTTTTGTTATGTTTTAGTCAAGTTTTCAAAAGGTTACACATAAGAGTGAGTATACGGACCATATTGGCTTCAGAGGCAAATAAAAAAGGCATAGTCTTTTAATCTTTCAAAACTTATCTCATGATAGTAATATTAAACCAATATACCCTATTCAGGTGTCAGGTGCAGGAGAATTAGATATTATCATACAGATATCATACAGATATGAAATGCATGTAATATCTTTGTGTTTAAATATGTTTATCTCAGCATATTTCGCTTAAAGCCAATTTCGTTTCAATGTTTCATATTTAATCTATGACACATAGACTTTTTTCTGACTGTGTTCTAAGAGGTTAAAACTAATAGCTTGTCTAAAAGCAGTCATCAGATATTTTATGTGTAATACAGAGTAACTAAATAAACTCAAAAAGCTTTCGGAGCTCCACAGACGAACGCTTGAAATAATTTTTAAATTATTTTTCTGTAGGTCTGTCAATAAGGGGTGCCTTCATAATTTTGGACATCACACTACTAACGGTCATCCAGCAATCACAGTCCACTACAGTCAGAGTTAATTTATGTAAAAAATACAAGCAAAGAAGAGATGTTTTTCTCCCGCCCTTGAAAACTAAACCAAACAAGTTACTAGCAGCCAGCTTGGAGTCTTTCAAAGATGTAGAATCAGTTATAGACAAGCACAGAAAATTATACGTGAGTAAATTTTGTGGATATATAAAAAAAAAACTTTGAAACTTTCACTAAACCCTGATAAACATTTTGATGATAAACGTCAGTTCTGAAATCAATGGTATGATATATTTCAGATTTTACAAAACGATATTAAATTCGTTTTCTTATTTTTAAGAATTGAATATGATTTAAAAGTTGTGACTCAGTATTGAATGTTTCGCCAAAAATAACTGTGGTCATCTAAAAAGTCACTCAAAGTTAACATTCAAGTTCATAAATTAATAATCTGTCGTTTTCAGAAGGATGAAATCTAAAAGGAACAATAAAATGGTTTATGTTAGACGCATCAGGTGGTAATTCTTGGCATTCCCGATTTTAATACATGTTTCGCATTTGCAATATAATTTGACAATTGTTTTGACAAATTGGTAAGGTATTACGTATTTATGATCAGGGCTATCTAGAATATGAATTGGAATGAATCTGTCAACATTTTTCTGCACCTTATTGCGCCAGAGGTAACGTTATTGTATGCTGAAATTTGTTTTGTCAGGAATGTTGAGCTTACTCTATAAGATTTCAGGGCGACCCTAAACGTTCACAATCCAGGTCTAGGTCTTATATCCAGCTCCTCCTACCTGCATAAGTTCGTTACCATCTCAGAGTATACTTAAATCGTACACAGAATCCTTAGGTCAGCTGGCGCGCGTCGGTTTTACTGAGTCATTGTTTAACAGTCAAGTTGCAGTATGATATGATATAGACTATTAGCTCAATGAATTTGTACTAGATTGACATATTTGAAATTTCACAGAAAACAGCTAGTGCTCTAATGGTTTGTTTTAAAAGGGGCATTTCACTGTTATGTAGGTCAAAAGGTTTTTTCAAATTTGTGAAATCTAGACACCATAATCTAGAGAAATGTGTCCAAAGATGTCGAGTTATTCAAGGCTATGAGCGTTTTTACCCCAAATTTATTGAAATTTTTTACTGGGTTATCCCAATAAAGCCCATCCCATCTGACCGATAAAGTTATTTTGCTCTATAGCATTTTTCGGTATATCCGTAATATCTAATAACACATTAGGTGTTTGGGTCGATATGAATTTTATTGAGCTATGTCGTTAAAGGGATTTGAAAGGTTAACAGAGGACAATAATTCGGTCATTTGCAATTAGATTCGACAAAGTTTAGATGATATTTTAATTTCTTGACGATTCAAACTCATCCTTTCACTATTTTGCTTAACCTTTGTGTTTCCTAAACACATAAGATATGCCTCATTGTCCAATGAGCATAGACGTCAGCATACCTACATCTATTGTAATGTAAATGGTCTAGTGGCTGAAATTTTCTACAAGAGCATAGCACAAAATGTATTTGTAATATAGAAGGATTCCAAATTTGAGATAGTTTTTTCAATTGTCTATTGCAGGAAAAGGCCGTTGGATCTCATCAGCTGATAATAAAGAATATGGGTTTAAAAGATTTTTATCCAACTACAAAAGACACAAAATTATTTAAATTACCGAGAAAAAGAAAGGTAAATACAGGTTTTGTTCATAATTTAATGCTTTCTGTTAAAATCTATTTATCATATAGAAGTAGAAATACTAGAAGTGGAAGCGGACTATCTCCAAAGAAGAGTCAGGATTCACAGTCATCACATCAAACAGAAAACATGTGAAACCACTAAATGATTTGGGATTAGCAGTAGGTGTTGAAAAGATTAAGTATTGCAGGAATCCCTAAAGCCCTGGACTTATTTTAGGCCGGAGTTTCCACATAGATCGCGCTGATCTCTCCTCGTTGCGAGCATTCTACCTGGCTAGATCTAAATAGGATAGTGGAGATTTGGTCATCCTGTAGTGACACCCAGTTACAGAAATTTTGATAGCCCTCTCCTGGATCTCTACATCTTTCGTAGGAGAATCAAGTCTCATGTCAGATAATTCCACAGGTAGACTACGCATCTCTGAGCAAAGAAAATCCTGAAGTCGAAAGGAATCCTACAACTGATAGGCAATTAATAGCGACACTCCACCAGAGATGTAGGTGTCACTGTCAATCCCACTCTCAAAGTCTTAGAGGCTCGGCACATTTTGCTTCATCTCTCCCTTGAAAAGATCCAAGAGGACTACATTACAGTGTTCACAGATAGCTCTCTCAACCCATCCTGTGGAATTGCTGCAGCTGGAGTATACATCCCCTCCCAACATTGAGTTAATTATCCCTCTGCCACCATGCTCCATGTTCCTAGCAGAGCTTACGTCAATTGAAAGAGCTCTTCAAGCAATCTGCCAGTTTCTCCCAGTCTATGAGGTACAGGAAAATTCCTAGAAAAGACCATGTCTACTTAGCTCGTATGAAAATGAATTATTTCCAAAATCAGGGCTACCTACATCGTGTAAAATTGGCTGAAGATTCGATGTGCCCACTGTGTGGTAAAGCAGAAGAAACAATAAAGCACACTGATCTTTGAATGCGAGGAATTGACCATCCTAAGATCCTTTGCCACTCAAATGAGTTGGAAGGATGCTCCAACACAAACAATGGATGGAGCCCCATCTCATCAAAGAAAGAAGAGACTACACGCCTCGTTGCCGTCCTCGTGAACATGCAAATACAATACAATGAAGTCACATTCAGATTATGAAGTTTCGTATTATACTTTTACGGTCCGTGCAATTTTTAAAATAAGCAACAATTTTATTTGATTTCTCTCAATTGTTATCTCGATTTCCATCAATTTGTATTGTATTATATTTACACTCAGGTCCGCGCCATATTTTGTAATCAAGCAGGCAACTTTTTTGTTTATTATATTCTGATCGTTTCTTCTTTCAGGTCCGCGTCTTATTTGAAATCCAGTGGATGTTGACATCAATGCTTTACCATTTAGAGGTTGCTGATGTTTTGGAGAAAGATTTCAGTTTCCGTAAGGTAGAAATGATGGTAAAAGTGCTAGGAGATACCTGGAAACTATTGATGAATAGGTTGGGTTTTGGAACAAATCGGACACGTAGTTCCTGCTATAGAGAAGGTTCCATTCCTAAATTGAACACTCGAAGGGAGGTATCAAAGCATTCTTCAATAGTTCTTCGAGATATACATTGCAATCTCAGTCGGCTGATACATATCCTGAACAATTGTCGAATTAGAAGAAAGAGAAATAGAAAAACTAAGGTGACAGAATATATTTTTACATGCAGGAGAGTTAAGTCAGTTTTTAATAATCGCAAACATAGATTCAGTCCAAAATTTTTGCCTAACCACTGCAAAATTCCAAAAAAGTTGTACAGTTTATCGCAATTGTAATACATTGGTGCATACGATATATCGGTATGTTACTGTTTTTCATTCCCAAAGAAGACAAAATTTCTAAATATAGGCCTATGATTTAATTGTTTGTATTGGGTCACGCAGATTTTAGTTGAAGGTCGTGAAATAGCAACTAGCTTGTTGTTTGTGCTCCGTATTATCTTCCAGTTTTTGGTATCATTTGGATGTTTATTTCCATCTTCTTTAAGATTTCAAAATCGAATGATTTGAATATTCATATCATATCATTGTGTTTTCGTTGAAGTATTGAACCAAAGCAAAAATATAGGCACATGACACAACCTTCAAAATATGCAAGCATTCAATCCAATTGAATAAAGGGATCTTGTGCGCCTATGCTAGTAAATCCGTTTCAGGATTAAAGTGTTTATTGTTTACTATTTTATAGTAAACTTGTTGAGTAAACACGTTATTGTGTTTATAATTTGTATCTTATTGATATTTTTTGTTATTTATTGGAAAATAGCTTGTAATTTTTTTAGAGTTGTATAAAGCTTAATTCTTTAAATATTTTAAATCCTTAAGGTCTCCTTGCACAGTAGTGATTAAGATGACGTATGGTTGCGAGTAATGAAAGTGTACATGGGTACCCAACGCAACTAACAACTCAGTTGCATGACAGTTCAATACGTTTGACGGCTATTCTTATTTGCAATCATACGCAACTGGTGATCGCTAAGGTGTGGGGGCCATTAAAGGCACATTTTACTCTACTGTCGATGAACTGACTATTTGAACGATATTGCGTTTAATTGAAAAAAAAAAACATATTTGTACAAAACTTAGATCTGGTTCAAGTAATAGACTTTTAAATTTGACGATAGAGTGAAGAGCTTTATTTATTTTATTATGTGATATTTATTTATAATTTGTTTGCTGTTATAATTATAGTTATAATACAGATTATAGTTATTTTATTAATTTATTTCCAATACATTTATAGTATTAACTAAATAAACGATCTGATGAACAATGAGTCCATGATAATGTTTCAACCAGTAACTTCCAACTTTGTTAAGGATACCGAGGTAATAATGATCTGCTTTTAAGGATGGCATAAATCAGCATAAAATATGACGCCATCGCGTGAATAATAATATAAAAGAATAATTTAAATTTTTGTTTTATTGCTAATAATTTTTATATTTACATACATGAACATGAATCACCTTTTAAATTTGTTTGTTTCCCATCTTGATAAAGTTAAATCTACTCATTTTTATAATGTATATCATTATTATGTATAATATATTATTTGATTATAATTAAAATTAAAGAATGTGTTTATAATGTTATAATGTTTAAATACGTGTTCTTCCTCTCGACATTACTTAGAATTAGCCAAAAGATGATTATTTTAAGGGACACAGTCGACCGTCGATTTAAAGCTTCTGAACGATACTGTCGCTGAGCAAAACAAATGCATCGATTTAACGGTCACACATTCTGATGCTGATTCTAAAAGTCGTTGCATATTCTAGACAATTGTTAATTATTCCGATAGTCACATGGTCGACCTAAGTCACGTTGATCCATACACATTCCGACATCTGTTGACATTGAATTAATGCAATGAAAGTATGCTAGGCAAATACTCGACTTATAACCATTGAGTAAGTAACAATCTAGTAAGTTAATAAAGATAACAATGAAGGTTACGTGGGATAAATACAATAGCTATCACTGAATCCACGTTTGATAACTTTGAGAACAAAACAAAGTGCACGCGAAAAGATAAAGTGCAAAATAAGACTATCAATCATTATTCGCGGAGTATTTGGTTAGGCCAAGCTTCCCTCAAACTGAACCTAAATGTATGCACAGGACAATGTTAATTTGCACGCCGAACTCTCTCTATGACTAATTCAGTGCTTCAAAAGGGTATTCGGGAGAATCTGATCAAAAAACGACATTGTCAACAACCACTGGGAAAATCGCATCCATTGCTTATGCTCTACTTTGGCGAACGAGATCTGCCAATTCGTCTTAGTTTGTTTGATTAGATATACGTATCTTGATATCTCCAAGTTATGCTATGTTTACACTATGTTTCCAGCCACGACAATCACGGTTCAGGCCACCGAGGGAAAAACAAGATTAACATGAGACGGGGCGGGGATGGGGGATAGGCAAACATGACAGACGATAAATGTCCGTGATTGCCGTGGATACCGGGTCAGAATTTTAAGCTTTCACAAAATCTGCCACGGTAACAACGATGTGGATGATGGAGAGTAAAACTGGGAAAACCCTACAAAATGTATAGGCCGTTATAAAAAGAGGTCTGTAGTGGGGCGGGAATGTATGAATTCCCCGTTATCTCAAGTCCCACGTTATGCTTTTGTTTTCATGGGTCTCACGGCAAACTAGGTCGAACGATAGCCGTTTCGTTAGGTTTAAATTACAGTACGATGTGTGACGCTGACATGCTGAACGCGGTCTTGAAAGGAGTACAGACCGCGAGAAAACTTAGCACAACCACCGCTTAATACGTTTTGGGTAAACGGGACTGACGTGGCCGCCGGGAACATAGTGTAAACTTAGCATATCGCATAATCAGCCATTATCAAATATCACTTATCTTAAATAAATAGGAGCAATATCTTAATCAAAATTTCACCCATCCGGTTGTGTATAATTCACCACCAATTCTCTTTCTCTCCAATTTTCACATTCTTTTTCATTTAGATTAGGGGTGCACATGGACACTGGCGAGGAGCATTGTACTAGAAAAAACAATAATATAAACAAGTCAAATTTGACCTCAGTTAGACATGCTGCAGTATTGTGTTTTGAGTCTTTAAATTATGAAAACATGAGATACTGAAAATTGAAAGTTGTCGTAATATACATCTGTTCTCAGCTCCAGAACAAACAGTTAAACTGTATGTTAATTAAACTACTCTCCAACAACAGTGAGCTTAGAAATAAAATATCAAACATTGCTATATCTTTTTCAATAGCATGTCATTTGTCTTAAAATTTTCAGTAAACATTGTGGTCTGACATCAAGCTTATGTCAAATATAATGGACACTTTTTCAAAAAATGGTGAACAGTTTTTACCAAATAATGGACAGTTAGTGAACAGTTTTTACCAAATAATGGACAGTTATTGAGTACAACTAACAACACTCATACATTCTACTAGGTAATGGATAAATATAACATAGGATGACGTCATAACTATTATTTAAGGATAATTATGTACGTATTATATCAGAAATATAACTGTTAACAAGGAGCTACAAAGGTTGGCTAGAAAACCTCCATGGGAAATAACGACTGTCGTAAGCTGTTGTCTTTCGGATGTAAGAAAGCATTATAAAGGTATTTAATCTACAGATTTGTCGAAACAATACCTTTATTTATTTCATTGTTTCAAAACAGTGGGATGGACTAAAGAAATTACATTGAAAATTCCCCTTATAAATTGGTTACCACGGCGAACAAAGTTCAAAAACTTAAGTCTTAAAAGTTTTGTGACTTCGAGGGCTGCAGAGGAAATATCATCTTTCCTATATGATATCATTATTTTATCATATTTCTTTACAGTTGATAACCATCTTATCTTATCGGATGCCGGATGTAATAAATTTCCTTGAATAATTACAGAGATATAATATTGTTTGTAAAAATTACCGTTCCTATCATTTTGATATGTTTTAAGTGAGTTTACATATTATGTCAATCCAAAAATACCCCATTTCCCTAATATTGCTCTATATTCAAAGAATAGTCTCAATAACCGTAGCTAGCAGAGCAAGACAAAAAGAGGGGGCTAGTGTCGCTGTCTCGGCAAAATTACCCTCATTGCACCATGCATGGCGTTGCCTGTCTTCATTATCCCACATGTTGCAGAAAAGTAGGACGTAAAACTCGATTAATTTAATCTCATTTTTTAATTCATTCAGACGAAAAAAGCAGTGGGTATTTCAAAAGTCCGAAAGAATAATATCACATGAGCAAACTATTGTATAGTTTTCGTACGTTCAGCAGCACATATTATGTCGCTGATTTACACATATACAACATATTGTACGCTAACGAGTTCAGAGATCACAATTACATAAACTGTTACAGTTGAAATGTCAATAACTTATGTTACCAACATGTTATTTATAAACATCCACATTATCAAAAATTTCAATTTAAGTTTCTTATTCTTTTTAACATTAGAAATTGTAGACTTCTAAACTTTGTATGAGTCATGTTAATAACATAATAATAATATATGATTTCAGTCTGAGAGTTGTTTCACTCTGACTAATTGGTCTACCCGAGTTTGCCAGCGAATTTCCAGACTGGGCATACTGATTCTGGAATGGAGAAGTCTTTCACGATTTTTTTTTTTTAGTTTGAGTTACTGTGATTGATGGTGACCAAGATTGATGTATGTTATTCTTTCACTAAAGAGACGACATGATTTGACAAAAAGCACGTTCACTTGACCCAATGATGATTGACATGGAATAATAGAAAATAATGTTTCCAATCCAGTCCCGAAACATATTGATTACATCTATATGGCTTGAACTGAATGTCCAAAAAATATAACATTAGAATTAAGAATTTGGAAAATTTTAGGAAATGAAGCGCAGAACTCAGCCAACTTCCTCCCACGACTCGCTGAGATTACAAATTTGCCACTCCACTATAAGATAGAAGTCCGATTGTGTAGGCGTCTTGAATCCCAAGGATATTTTAATCATTGTAGACTTTTATCCTCGTCAAATTTTCCACATAGAAATTTTCAGTTTCCAGTTGACAATTATTGAAACCCACTGTCATGTATTTTGTGGGTTTGGGGCATGACAGTCTTCATGGATGGACAGGTAGACCTTTACGCTCATTTTATACCCAAGTTCACATTTCTTGATATAAAATGTGGCGGCATCGAAACACAAGCAAAAAGATCAAACACAAAACATGAGTTTCTTGTACAAGTCACCAGTGTAACAGGTTCAAATTTGCGGATCATCATTTGCAACTCTACGAACGACATGGTTCCTCTTCACCCCTTTCATAAAGCCACATAGCTTTTAATATATCTTGGTTTGTCCATCCAATTGGCCGATTGATTTTATTGAATGCATCACATATACATGTATATAAGTCAAAATATTGTCAGGATGCCAAAAGCATCCTGAGTAAAAATTAACATTTGATGGAATCTTTTCAGGTCTTTTCCGTTTCATATTTCGTTTGTGGTATATCATATTCTTATAAATATTATTGAAGTTATAATTAAACAAAAGATTATCAATCATTGCATCAGGTAAATTTAAACCGGAATTACCCACGAGGTTTCAGGTTAAGGTAGGTCTGCATCCCATCCGGAAGTCATTGACGTCAATTTCGGTTCAAGGTATTTTGTTGAGCAATTGTATTCAGATTCTATTGTATCAGTATTAGATTATCCAGAAGAGTTCTCGAAAACTATTTTTATCAGTATTACATATAATATGTAAAATATTAATATTGCGAATGTCTTTCTCCAGCTCATAGTAATTACACCCAACTATTAATTGTTCCTAATTTAAGAGCTCTTTCCAGGAAACAATTTTATACTGCATGCCATACTCTATTAGTCCTGTAGATGAATCTCCTTGGTCTTCGCATTGCACTTGTTACAAATGCTGTCTTGTATTTTGGCTTATAAAATCCATTACGTTATTTTGCCATTGTTTGCACATTGCTTGCTCTTGTTTGATCTTGCTTGCGCTTGTTTGTGATCCATTTTGCTGAACTGTTAACTTTATTCTTGTATAAAATACATTTCATGTAACAAGAATAATATTTTTTAGTTAAATTTATACAACGGAGGTTTTGTCTGTAGCATTATGAATCTAGATCAGTAAAACATCTTTTTAGGGTGCGCAAATTTGCTTTTAATCGTGAGTTCTATTACCTGTCATTCTGTACCTAAGAAACATGCACCGCTCCTCTCATCATTTCAGTTCCACCACGAGCAATATGACTTACCATGTGGTATAGTATGCATATAAATGGCGGAAATTGCGATGTTTTAACACTTAAGTTTTGTTGAGAGAACATTGATATCTAAAATGAGCTTTTATCACATTTGTTTTGTGGCAGTCAAGCTTTCTTTGCGACGTTGCTTTTTAATCCTTGGATGTTGGCTCGCAAATCAGAATTCATCAAAAGATAAATTGTCCACATTCCAACAAAAATGAAACTAAATGAATGGAGTTTTACGTCCTACTTTTCTGCAACTTATGGGCTAATGAACACCATGAAGTGTATAATGCGGGTAATTTTGCCAGAACAGCGGCATAAGCCTACTCGTTTTCGATTTCTAACTGTCGAGGGTTCTTTAACGTGCAAAACCTACAGCACACGGGACCTCGGTTTATTGTCCCATCCGAAATACTAGATGTTTTTTCCAGGAAACATTGGCTGGTATTATACCGTCGTGGGTCAGATTAGTTTTACCAGATTGGAGTTTACCTTGACTTTAATGACTTAATTGGAATTTAATATAGTTACATTTAGTAATGCTAATTATAATATAACTTGAAAAGGTCATATGTCATATGTATCATTTTAGTGAATTCTGATTGGACCTTTGTTTTAATCAATAACAATACTACATGAACTAGCCTACTTACTGTTTATACGGTGTGTACTCGACTCTCTACAGCAGCCAAATGGTATGAAAACGAAAGCTGCTGTAAAAATAGATGGTAACTAAAATTAGAAAGATTGGAAGTGGAAATTTTGAACCCGAAGCAATAAAAGTATAGACACAAGGTAAGGCTGTTCAATTTCAACAATAATTTCCAAGAGACTTAATTTTTCGTCAAGATCTTACATTAACAATGTTCAAGTTCAATCTTCAAGTTTTCAGTAAGTCTTATTTCTCTGTCGCCTTTCTATCGCTAATGTTCATACACTAACCTAATCTTAGACGTTCTCTATTTCTCTGTTAAAACGTTTGTAAGTCTTAGCCCACAGCTTTTGTCCAATTTTGATGAAGCACGGATGACTTAAGTGTGTGTTAAAGTCTACTCTCTTACCCTTCGTGTTCCTATATTTCCAAATAAAATGGTTAATTACTTGTTTTTGGTAAAAATAGAATGTAACTAAATTTAGAAAGTCTGGAATCGGGAATTTTGAGCATGTATTTCGACTATATAAAGTTTGGACACAAGGTAAGAGACATAATATTTGTCGAGATCTTACATTAACAATGTTTTTTCAAGTTTTCAGTAAGTCGTATTCGTCTATCGCCTTTCTTATTTTCTATTTTTATTTTTCTTAGATTTTCCCTTCTTCGCAGTCAAAAACGTTTATTCGTCACAGATTTTTGATAACTTGCATGTGTGTTGCGGTTTACTCTTCAACCAATGTAAATTCTGAATTTATTTTGTCTATCATTAATTCACACTATAGTTCCGAAACTTATGCCTTGTCTAATAGTGAGACCATGAGAGTTCGAGAGTAATATTTTACCACCAGGGCACACATCTGTCGCCTGAAACGAAATTATCTGTAATACAAAAACAATTATGCTTTGTATTTTAGAATAACTCGATTTCTGCATTTCTGGATTTCCATAAAATCTGAGTTTCTGTGGGAAACTTATCTAATAATATTATTCACGCCATCTGTTGGATTTTCCTCTTACTAGTTTCTCATAACAGACAAAAACTCATTTCTTGTACTTCTGAATTGTTATTCATTGGTTTAAATCATTTTGAAATCTAAAAATATTAAGTAACTTGTGACAGTCAAAGAGTAGTAACATATTGGTTGTTCAGTGCGGATAGGCAATTCCTTCAAATAACAAGATCTGTTTTTCGAACATGGTGAAAAGACAACTGATATGTTCTTCACCTCGATCAGAATGTTCAGTTTTGGTTTTTTCTTAGAAAAATGCTATTGATAGCTCCATATTTAAACGATTTTATTCCATGGATACTTATCATATCAGACTTGTCCTTGATTTTGAACTTGTAAATCTCTCACAACGCCCAAAGCGAGAGCAAACTAAATTAACACTGTTGTTAAAACTATGTATAATAGTATAACTGTATAATATTTAAACTGTATGACATTGTTATTTCAGCTTTATTAAGTTTCTTTCTGCTGGATGCAGCAATTGGTGTTCCAGTTAGACAAAAGAGAACCACTCAAGATGCGCCCTGGATTAATCCATGTGTTTCTAACGGCGCAAGTGGTGGTCAAGCTTTGCCACCAGGACTCCCTTCACCACCTACACAAGCGTCACCTAGTGTTAAGGAATTAATAGAAACATTTCGATACAGAATAGATGATGCAGCAACCAAATCAAACAGCCTAAGACAGACTATGGTAAGTTAAACATTATAACCCTTACCGTTATAAATGATATTGGGCCTTGGCGAAGGTGGTTCTGGTTCTATCCAAGCTCAGACCAAGGGAGTACCTTAGGACGTTCCACCCAGTTTCAAGTTTCAGTGATATTGGTCATATTGACTAACACGTAAAGGCAAATTGGGTAACAAATCGTTTGTCTATTCAGACATTATCCCTCGAGTTGGAAAGATGACCAATGCCGTTGTTCGGAACATTATGGCGTTGTACCCTGCGTGAGTTAATCTTCAATAACCCAGAAACAAACTTGTGGGGTGTAAAACACATTTCAAATTTCAAATCTAAGCAACCGTAGTTGACTTAAATATACTTGTAATTCGACGAAATATGTTAATTAGCTCGACGAACGTGATATAATATGTCACATACTCTCCTTAAATTGTTTCTACCTTTATAAGACATTAAAAGTTAATAGTTCGGCGAAATATTTAGCACAATGATCTTAAAGGGGTATCTTGCCATTTTTCAAACGTTTTTTGTAGTTTTGAGCGTGAAATACATCAATGCCCACATTATAGAGGAGGACCCCTTAACCTCCGTGAAATTTTTAACATAAAATTTTCAAGTGTTAAGTCACAAACAGCAACAAGTCTTAATTCTTGATTCTATTTTGAATCCCCCGGGCCCCATATTTACTGTACTAGCCGATATTTGATTATAAGAAATGAATTCGAATTGGACCACCAATTGTTAATAACCAATCAGTACCAAACGTACCTCATCATGTCATGCATTGTTTAATTAAAAAATTCTTAAATTTGATGTTTAAAGTGGTTTCTCTGCATAATAAGGTCCAGTTTACACATTAAAATTTTATAAGAATGCCCCTTTAATGTCATCATGAATATTTTATGATTGGAAAGCTTTGTCCAAAAAATAAATGGATAGAAAAATATGGATATTTGAACTTTATGCTTATTCTGCGTTAATACATTCACCACATGAGGAAATTGTCAGAAATTTTATGGTGACAATGCTATTTGTAATCATTGACTTATAACTTGACAGTGGATAACAATTTCGCTATAGGTGCAACGAGGTTATTTACTTTTCTTACTTACTTCTGAAGTTCAGTTTTAAAAGTTAACCCCCATTTTTAGGGCCCTGATGGGGATCATCATAATGAGGATTATTTCAACTTTTATTTTGTAATGCAATGGGATAAAAATTGAACAGAAACACAATTTTAAGAAGATGGCCCTTGAATCAGAATCCACTGAAGAACCTGAAATGAAACATCTATTTCTACAACAGATTGGACAATGGCTAACTAATCGAACCTCCTACGAAATTTAATTAATTGTCGTGTTGCATCAAAGGAACAAATATTTTCGGATTTATTCTTTCAGTTTACCGAGCGGATAGGCAGTCTCCAACTCGAGTCAGTTTATAATGGAATGCACATTGATGGTATGCCGCTGATTTCGGACATTGAAGAATGGCAAAATTCTAATGATGTAAGTAAACAGTGGCTTTATATATTCATTTAACATGAGTGCATGATCTATATTGTAGTAACATTCACCGACCTGCATTAATTACAGGGACAATTTTAGACCAATCGTACGTCTAAGAAACGCCAAAATGTTCTACTGACCCTTTAACATGAACGCAATAACATTGACCGGATACGTATACATTGGATAGCAATATCTTACTCGATATTAATTTGTATTGATTACGGCCGAAAGGCAATAAAATTAATTGCTCTGGAAGCGACGTGTGTGTTACTAACGTGATTCAGTTATTGCTGTCAGCATATCTGTCTGAAGCTGTCGACGTGTATTGCATTTGATTGACCCGTTTTGTGTATGATTGACGAGGTTTGCCTTTCAATTATATTGGCTTTTTACGTTATTCAAACCTATTCTATAGTTATTGAAATGATATGATTGGATTATTGACAAACTAGAATAATTTTGCTACTTTCTATTTACAGACAACCAAAGTAGTGAAAGCAGATTATAAAAGTTTGTCGAAAATACTGGTGTTTATGCATCAAGTAAAATTGGATGAAATAGAACATAACAATAGTACCCTTAAGAGATATATAGAAGATACAATTAATGATATTTATAATAGTTTATGTACATTACATAATCTCTTGTTTTGTCTGAATGATTCCATTGACAGTCACGTGACTCGTGACATCATGCCACAAAGCCAACGAGAGATCGTGTTAGTATCGCTTCGCAATCAACGAGATTATGTTATTGCCAAGGATACGATGCATTTTTTATTTGCATTGAAGGATAGTTATATATCCATTTTGTCTCAAATGTAAATTCATTTGAACTCTTTACACTCTTCAAGTAATGGAGATCAGTGTTGACAAGGCATAAACTATGTTTATGTTGTGGTCAAAATCTTGTATTGACGTTTTAGTCAAAATTATTATGCTTTATATATTTCATAAACACATATTTTATATTTGTATATTATGTTAAGTTGTATTTAAGTTGGGTACCTGGCTCGAGTTCGACTTTGAACTTGTTCCTTAACTTAAATTTCAAATCTTGCAGGTTACCCTACTTGACAGGTGGATTCCCTTTTTTATTAATGTTTACAAAATAAATTTGCAATGTGCTTTAACTGAGTTTGCTACGGTCATGCTATTCTGTACAGATTATTAAAAAGTGGAATCCCCCTTTAATTATAACGTCATATAGTCGACAATTTGCATCTATAAAGATATAGTTCGACTATCCTATAAGAATATTTTATTACACAGATTTACTGAAATTATTGTTTAATAATCACGTTTGTTGTTACTAATTTACAAATAACTGCAAAATAATTCGTGGATATCATAAAATGTATGTATTTTTATATTTATGCAATGTTTGATAGCGGGCATTTTAATTTATTTACTATATATATCAATGTCTTCCTTTCCTTTGCCAAATATGCAAACCTATTCATGCATAACATGTGAATATGTGATAAATCGAAATTGTAAAGCCTGATAGAAATGGTCGAATCGGTTTATGAGATATTTTACTATTAACGTTCTAATTCAATAAAAAGTTCAAAAAGAAATAATATTTCAAAACAAATTTTAGAACTTCCAGTACACATCATCAATGATGTCTCAACAATATAAATGATATATACATGTATAAAATAGTTATATAATAACTTTTGTAACCGTTTGTGCCTTAAGATATATCCGATTGTCTCCCTTGTTTGTCTTATTTTTCTTAATTCACTACTCACGTAACTTCACATTGACAGAATGTATGCAAAAGAGTTTAAAAGAAAGTCGAGAGGGTGACTGATTCACTATATTCAGTCTGACCATCAATTCTAAAAGATTTATAACTGTTATTTTCTGTTTGTTAATATCATTGTTATGAATTGCATTTTATTTTACTTAATTATTAAATTGTTTTATTATAACTCTTGAATAAAATAAATTATCCAAAACAGAACTAATTGGTGTTCATCTTTGCCAGTTGCGGCGTCAGCCTCCCGAAACTTGGGGTACAAATAGGGGTCAGATACACGCAATTCGACAAGACAACTGTCCAGACTGATTTCAAAATGCGACAATGTTGTGGAGGTTTCATGGTCGCAAGCCTCTCATTGAGCGTCTGAGAAGGTTCTCCCAAGATAATTTTCAAAAAATGAATTGATTTGGTACATTCTGACACATATTCAGGGACAAAAACGTATAAAAATCATATCTTTAACTTTGCTAAAAATAAAGTGGGGGTGATGGACCGTGATCTTAACCAACATCTATCTAAATTCTTAAAGTTATTGTACATCAGTTATTGGGTATGGGTGTAGATGTGGAAAAAACCACATCTCTGAAACAAGGGAGACAACTACATCCCGCTCCTTTCAATTTTGTTAAACTATAAGGACTCACTCCACTCCATTTTATGCAAATGATTGTATGTAGTCCAGGCTATTTTTAGGAATCTTCTTTTTCTCTCCCTTTTGGGATTTTTGCATGCCTATTTTTGAGTAATTTTTGGTCTAGATTTGAAATTTGATGTCTGAAATTGCATTATATTTAAGATTTGGTGAGATGATGAGAGACCTAAAGGCGGAAGGTTAATTCTAAAAATAGTCGTTTTGTGAACTGACAAACTCTAGCGGATGAGTATAACCTGTAGTAGTCCACTTTCAATTTGACTAGCTCAAAATTTTCATGGTCAATGGGACCAATCATAGTAAAGTCTCAGAAACGGGAGTATGTTAACTAAGACAATCGGTAATAGTGTTCACCGTCGAAATTTGGCCTTCAAATCCATGTGTGTACAGAATTATCCGCGTTCCAAAGTTAAAGAGACGAGCCATATATATATAAGACATCTATAGAAATAGGAAAAGAAATGCTTAGTTTGAGGTATTTGTGGGGGGAATTATGCGACTTCCGTGCATTTTTAGTACTTTTTAAGACTATTTATTGATTTGAGTCTTGAATTAATTATGTAATACATTATATACAAGATTCAATCCAACCCCCCAAAATGGCGCTTCTGTCCCTTTAAATTGAGCTGCTATTCGTTTAGCTTCTTTGAATAGCTCTATACTTGCAAAGAAAGGCGGTAACCATTGTACCATGTAACAATTCGTCGGTCAGATTGATGACACAGATAAGACACACGTCTTTGTTGTGACAGGTGATCAGCTGAACACAGAAGTATCTGTAAATGTAATAAGAAAATTTTATTTTTGATTACTTTTCATACAAAATATAAAGAAAATCATTTTTGACCAGCCTTCAACAAATACCTTCATTGACGTAATTCAAAATATCCATTTGATCTTTCCCATTTTGTATGGGAACATTAATAGACTATCTTTTCACATTTTCGAGCGACGACTGTGTTCTTTAAGTTTCCAAAAATATAACTTAATGGCTCTTCAAAATTTAAAATTGGTAGAATATGCTTAAAGAAGGAGTGCTGTTCATTACAGAAGGGTTGTACATATTTCATCAAACGACGTAATTTGAAATAATTACGGGACTTCCGTGACATTGGTATAACAAAGACAATTAAATTGTAACCGAAGAATTTTGTATTTGACGTGGTCTGAAGAAAAATAAATTCTCCCACGCACTGGTAATTTATATAAAATAATGTCATCTCATTTAAATACATATTATATCAATGCATCACTACATGGGTTTTAAATGTATCCCTGGGAATTTTTTAAAGCATAGAATTTTATTGCAGTGGAGGCACCAGGAGTAAAAAAGAAAAGTAATTGTACACCCACTCTATTTCTGAGAAATTTCAAAATAAGACCTTTTAGGTATTTGTACCCCCAGTTTCAGGAGGCTAGCGTCACCACTGATTCAATGCATATATCAATACATTTATGTCTAATGAATCCTACTAATGTATGAATTTCGTATGTTTGGTTAGACGTTAGAACGGTTAATTGAAGTATGACCCCTTGAGCTACACACTGTACTTGTAAATGATTCATAGACAAAAAATAATATGCTCATGTTGCTGTCCTGAAAAATTTTCTTGATACTGACCAGCTGCGGAATCATGCCCGTTTGTGAATTTATCTTGAGAAAGTTAATGTAAAGATTTGACTTCAAACCTTATAGGCTCAAGTTTTGCCCTCGGTTTTTACAGATAATGGTCGAGGACAGAACAGGTCCAGGGGCAAGCCTTTTTCATACTAAGCTGAGATAAAACTTAAATTTTAAGTATTAGTGCATAACTGATTGTAGAACAGACAAAAAATATATCTTTATATTTCTTCGAGCACAATGTTTCTGGCATTAATCTTCAATATTTCCTTTTCTTGATATGAGGGGTATTGTGAATTTCAGTAATCCTAAGCTGAGCATGAGGAATATTTTGTGACCCTGGGTATCTAAAGACCGTCATTCATATCGGCTTTGTTTATTTCAAACTAAATTGACATCTTGTAAACGCCTGAGTCCAATGAACATGATTATAATATCGACTTTAGATAAGATTGATGCTAAGGTCGACCTTGATGCATGGTACACCAAAATACCAATGTACACACGGAAACATCTGTAACAACTTTCCTTCTCCGCGAAGCCAATCAAAATCATTCATAGGATATTTGTGGTGTGATAAAATTCGTATAAAACAGAAATTGTCTATTTGGCTCGTGGTTTATTTTTTATTTATAGACTTGGTGTCATATAGTAGATATGTGGTTACGTTGTACGCGTCTCGAGTCATCCGTAACGTAGACAATGTAAAAATTTAATATGTATGTATTCTTAGGTTAGAATTGCTATAATATAAAGAGTACTCGATTAATAGAAAGTTGTATATGTTAATTGAACAATTTCAACCAACATACATACCCATTCTAGACCCACTACAATGAGCTTTCAAAATGATATAGTCCCATGATCACCCCACCCCCTCCACGAAGAAGTTTTGCTCGCTCAATGTTGGTGATTATCTAGGCAACTTCACTACGCTTTATCAAGATTTGTCCTTTCTACCACGTTCACAAGGAATTAGGAACAAAGGGACAGGGGCGGCGAACTGTATTCTCACTATATAATATCAGCATATTCTTTATTTCAATTTACAAGCTAATAAAAATGCAATTTGGTATATCATTTTGTGTCAATGGAGTTATCAATCGGTCACTGGTTAAATGACATATTATGTATTATATATGTATATAATTATGACATATAATTACAGTATATACCTATGATATGATTTAAATAGTAGTATGAGTAGTAGGAACTCAATCATATCCTAATCCGGTACTAATTGGATTGTACAAGGAAATTGAGAAGTGTGTCAATGTCGAAAATCACAGTAACCAATAGATTGAGTTTTTAATGACATCTATTGAAGATGAGTTTATCAGATATATAGTGATACCAAAGTCTAAACAGACCACAAATGAAATGAATGGAGTTATACATTCTACTTCTCTGCACCTTGTGGGCTAATGAAGACGGGCAACGCCATACAGGGTGCAGTGAGGGAAATTTTGCCAGGACAGAGGCTTTAGCCTGCTCTTTTTTGATTTGCAACTGTCGAGGGATCTTTAACGTGCACAGCCTGTAGCTTAAACAGACAAGACATGTATCGCCGTATGAATAAGGTATCCAGCAATGTTTCACTTAAACATCAGAAAAAGAATCTTGTATTATTTTGCTGCATCTGATAGAAAAAAGTCTACTGGCGAATGAAACATCTCATCGCAGTCGTTACTTAGAAGTAGTACTACTTCAACAGAATATAGCAATTCTAACCTAAAACTAACCTAATAAGCCAGGCCCACCTCTCCCTCCTCATAGAAACGGTACCGGAAAGTACACCACGAGCAACTGATGACTAAATCTCTAAATCGCCGGGGCACTCATGTCACTACATTCAGCGATTTGTAAGTCTCTCGAGGATGCCAACAGTCAATAACACTTCCTGGTGCTGTCAGATTCTATCAATCGAAAGATCGACCACATGTAATAAGATCCAACAGAATCATTGTTCTACGATTAGTACATAATTTAGCATCGTCTTCATTATTCGAAACTGGAATAGAAAAGTGGATCTAAGATATTCGTTCACTCCTGTAATTTAGTGTCATATACAACATCATCTTCGTTTGTCCAATCTATAGGAAAGTTCGTTTTTCACTGTATACGCAATTAACACAACTGGCAGTGAACTTCCCAGAAATGATGCTGGCTTATATTCTCGTAAACGTTCAAGAACAGATACTCGTGGATCATTTTGATAATATTTAATGGAAAGCGGAAAGAATTTCCCTAGACCTTCGCTGACATAAGCGATATACACTCCCATTGAAAACCTTTGATTGATTTTAAATGGTTCACCTTTGATCAGTTCCTGGATCCGGGACTGTATAGTTATACTTGTTCAGCAATATTGACTGATTTAATCATAAGATGACCTTAAGATTTCACAATAGACATGGGAAGTATCTTTCATCCGGAGAAAAATGTTTCAATGTAAAGTAACTGACACAGATATGTAACTATTTTTCGCCAATATGATTATGTAGTGTGGAATAATAGCATCTAATCCTATGCAGCAACGAATTCCGCTTCTGAACTTCAAAAATTATACTTTTAATGATATGAATGGATAACGACTAGAACAACAATGTGTTTTGAAGGGTTGTATTTATTTACAACATTCATTGACAGTATTTGTGTCAAAGTTTGTAAAATAATTATTGTCGTAGTCGCCAGTAAACTCTTACTGCTTCAGATGCAGATCATATTATAAACGATTAGCTCAAAAAGCACTCATGTCAAAACATTTCCCCTTTCAAAGAATCAAAAAGGGTTTTCACTTTAGTTGACTTGCATATGAATATAATAATGACGATATTCAGATTAAAATCACGACGATTGCTTTCCTGACAAAACTAAACAAATGACGAATGTGTACGGAAATCAAATTGATATTGAAATGAGATCATTGAGTAAAAAAAGGATAAAAATTCAGTCATTTTCTACGCTTCATTTCAATAAATTAAAATTAAGAGTAGTGACGACATTGTCGCCTTGAGGTGAACCAAGCGTCGTTGAAAACGTGTTTAAAGCATGTGGCCTTTTAGCCGGAGATTTTCGAGGAGCTTCACACCTAGTTTAATTACAGATTACGATCTTCGCTTCATCTTTAACTTTAGTAATGTGACGTGAATAAATATCAGTCGACCCAGGATATTTGAACATCATGAATTGAGTAACTAAAATAGTTCAAATTATATTTTGGAAATTTTCACAAGGAAATAGTTTTCTTCGTTAAATGCAACTTGTCAACTTATTGTTTTAACGATCTACCAAAAAGCGTGATTTCAATTGTCCGGGTAAAGATTCACTGGAAATTTTTCCAAATTGACACTTACAGAGCAAACATACACTGTTGGTCCTGGTCTATCCTTTATTTTTTTTTAAATGCATTGTCTTACTTTCCTTCCCAAGTTAATAACAAAGACAAAAGAACGGGGAACACTTAGTAATAAGATAAACTTTCCAAAGTATCCTGAATTGAAAGTAACCTTCTCGAATCCCCGAGTATACTAAAGTCGTGTCATAAGTTCAAGTCATCGTTGTCTTAACGGAGGTAGCGTCAATGACGTGAAAACTTAAACGATGCTGCAATCTTACACACCTCCACTAAAATAATAGTAAAAAAGTTTTCGGAATTCTATTTTTAGAATATTATGGATACAATGAAATTATTGCCCACATATCCGCTTCCTAGGCTTGTAGCCATATAAATACGGCCGAAACTGATTTTACAGGTAAGAATTGAAAACTTCTCGTATCCGAACATTTAAAATTAAAAAAATATATATTACAGAACTATCTCAAGTTAAATACAAATTAATTACTATTATTTATAATGGATTATATTTTTATCCTCACCGGTAAGTTCGAAGTTTTCTTGCCTTTTCCAAATTTTATTTTTAAAATTAAACCATTTTAAAAGTTTACAATTTATATATATCTATATATAAAAACAGGACGGTTATTGTTCTATATGCAAAATTGTTTCTTAGATAACAATTTTTTTATCAAGAACTTTTTATAAATAAAATTAATAATGTTTCGCCCAATTCCGTTATATTTCACAAAGATTGCATATAAATCTGCGCTGCTTTTCAAGAAACCGTATATTATATTGTCGTTATATCTGTCAAATGCAATCAGTTTTGAACGAAATACAGTGTAAAATGACCAATTGTGATTGCAGACAGCTTTATCTCAACAAAACCCAATATTCTTTACATATAACTAGAAGAGTTTAAGACGTCAAATTTATTTCACTGAATACTTCCGTCATTTAATACTTTACAATGCTAGTCACCTATACTGCTGTAATCGATCAGACAAACATATTATCTAGGAATCAAAAGCCATTGAAGAGACACTGAAGATTGAAAGTGTTGATGTGTCTTCACAAAACGATTTTGATTTACAATAAACTGTATGTAATATTCTCATTACAGCTCTTGTCGTTATAAGTTTTAACATCGGACACAGTAGTGCCGCACCAGTCAGCAGTCTGCCAACAGGAGAACCATGGAAAACACCATGTTCAGGAAGTTCCCCAGTTGTAACAAATCCAGCATTAACTCTTCCATCACCAACAATATCTGTGACTGAAAGATTGAACTCTTTAATTTTGAAGTTCAAGGACACGATAGAACTTAGTAGCTCTTTAAAACAGAAGGTAAGAATTGATCACTTCCATGTATTCTATTCATCATTTTACAGTTTCAGAGCAGAGCAAAACTTTTTGTTACACGTATCTTCGTCTGACCAAAGAGAACAATCTTTCTTTTACATAATTTCCTGCCATATTTAATGAAAAGAAAAAAAGCAACGCTTGAAGATTGCGGTCGCTCTAAGAGCTTTTAAAAGACAATGTTACTTGTTTGTAATTAAAGTAAATCGTACGAACCGGACGACGGAATTTGATATCGAAAAGTTCCAGTTATAAAATATCTGACTCGGTAGGCTATACATTTTAAGCGATAAGACAAAAAGTGGACATTCTATAATTTCTTTCGTTTGAAGCAGGTCCTACTGTGTGTTCAAAATAGCTATCGTTCAATCAATAGCCAAAACTGTGAATCATTGAAAAAGGCTTTCATTTGCGCCGTTTGTACAAAGAGGCCTGTCATACCAGACCAAATTCCACACGTATTCTACAAAAGTCACATCATCCTTTCCCCATCCTCGAGATTTTTATTTGGTGATTGGGAACCTGTCATTCTATTGTACGAATTCAAGAAAAGACTCTCCCAGCATCCCTTTTAGCAGTTTATTCTGAATAATTCTTAACATTTTATCGGACAATCTTTAGTGAATATCAAATTTCGTCACCACGACGTCTTCTAAATAATTTCAATCGTATCAAATTTCGATATTAATTTTAATTTCCACACATAATTTATGTCAGGTGGCCCAATAATTGCCATTAGATTTTAATCTTTCGAGGAAGGTTGTTTCTGAATGTAATATCTAATTTTTAAATCGATTTTTGTTGGGCACTCCATGAAATTTCAAAGAGATGAACCCTAATAGGACTGGCAGATAGGTTCTCGATTTACACTCCATTCGCCATGGATCATCCTTTAGGATATCAAATAGTTTTTGCGTCCTAATATTCGTGTCCGTCTGTACCTAGCGATATATGTGGTTGATATATTATCTTCGTGATACACTTGAATTTGGACAAAGATTTTGACGTTACATCGACAGGCTCAAGATCCAACTCATCTCATTAGATGATTTGTTTTCAACCATATCCTCCTGGTATTCTGATTGGTTAGGACTCAAACAATTCCCAATCCACTAATTTTTATTCGAGATGGAACGGTTTGGAAATATAAAGAAATGATATAGTTGAGCGATGGTCACGTTAATAACAAAAAAAACAACGTTTAGTCTGCATTAAGATCAAGCTGGAAAAGGGCAAGATCAATGATGCTTTCTCTTTCTTGATACTAAAATATACGTAGAGATTTTTACACATCTGTGCATCGGGCCCATACATAACAACGGAACTGGTTATGCCGTACGCTTAAACAGCTAAAGGTTTTTGCCTAAAGCAATGTGATTGCTAAAGGAATTTTGTGCAAAACTTTAGGCTTGGTTATGCCATACGGATATAAAGTAAATTCTTTTTTTTCTTCCAGATAGGAGATTTATTACAGAATACTGAATTAGTTACTTATTTAGAGCACGATACGGAGTTATTGCAGGGCTTTCCTAGTGTCGTATCAGATACATTGTCTGTAAGTACACTTCTTGTTTGACGACATATTTCTTTAAAGTGAATAATGGCCAACCCCATGGATACGATATTGGTGTGAAAAGAGGGAAATTTGCCAAGAGACATTTTTCTTTCCTTTTGCCATTTCCCACTGACGAGGTATCTTTAATACTGAAGCACAAGGGGCTTAGATTTATTTTCCTATCTGAATAACCAGACGCTTTTTCCGTCCCTGTTCACCGACAAAGGCTAAATTGGACACATTTGAGATTTACATAGCACTAAATCGGTATTATGAATTATATCGACTCGACAAGTGATCTATTGACAAATGAATTTCAGTTTTCTCTTTTGTAAAAGAATATTTATCAAGTAATTAAAAGTTTTATCAAGAATACAATAATTATCATTTGCTTAAATGTAAAATAGTACTGAATTTCATACCTACTTTCTTTTTATTTCTTTTTTTTTTTTTTCATATTTTGACATTTTCTTCACAGAAATATTCCATTTCAACTATATTTTCCATTGTCTTTTTCAGCTAAAAGAAAATTTAGTCATAGACAATGAACGATTTGCCGCTCTTTATATTTTTTTCGAACAATCAGCAATTGATAGTGAATTTAAATCAGACTTCAAAATCTACTCCAACAAAATATTGAACATCCTTTGTGAGATCCAAACAATATCTAGTCATGAAAAACAGGAGATAGTGTCCAAGGTTTCTCGTAAGGTTATGTTGGACGGTTACCGGACCTTGAGTTCGGCCCATCGAATGGAAAGAGATTACATCATTCTCCGAGATACCACGAAAATTCTCGAATCCGTCATTAATGTCTATAATTTTCACGCTGCCCATTATTCATAAGATAGCCAGATTGTTTAGCCAGTTGTAGTATGAGATCAGGGTTCTGTGACTGAACAAGACAATTTTTACCCTAAAGAAAAACACGATGACATTACAGAAATGTTAATTGCGCGATGTTCAAAATATTAGTATTACAATTAAAAAGGATCATTCAGAATTCCAAACCTCAAAATTGAAAATAGAACACTTAGTCAAAAGTAATTTTGCTCTTATGCCGGCGATATTAAAAGACACCGATTAAGGTAGCTAAAGTGAACGAACAAGTTTGAGTCGAAATATATTCGGGTCATTGACAAAGATACTTAGAAAGTGCTAAGAAATGTGAATATTGTGTTATTACAACATGCATAAGGAAATGTTTTGATGAAATCACTGCATCCAATGTCTAACGTTTAAACTTTCTACTTGTGTCTATGAAAGTATGTTGATGTATATTATTGTGGTTGTGAACAAATTGGTGCATTTATATCATCTGAATTCTAGCGTGCACCGACATTTGTAAATAAAACATTTATTTATTTACATTGGATTTATCTGTGATATGTTTTCCTTTGATTGTCAATCATGTGACAATTTATTTACATTTCTAAGAAGATATTTATGGTTTCCTTTAAAAGGACATTATTTATCAGAATATTGATTTAATCATAGTTTACGTTTAAAAGGAAATACTAGTTAATATGATGATATACCACTACATTTTTATAGCTATTACTTAACCATTATCACATATATTTGATGGGACAAATTTGAAAGTTAAAAAAACTAATAAATATTAAATTTTTAACTTATTTTTTGTAACAAAACACGAAATCTTATTAGGTTTTAATTAAACTGTATTGAGAAAAAATTATGCTTGGCCAATGAGAAGACCATAACACCATAAAATAATCCTATGATATAATATCATAATATAAGCATTCCAATTCTGAATTTGATTTTATGATATATTTATTTTATTTTAATTATTGTTTTAGACTTTTTTTTATCATAAAAAAATTGTTCCACTTGCTTATTTTTTGGTCCTGAAATTTCTGAAAGTGATCTGTGGACATGAATTTTATTTTACGATATATTTATTATTTTTTATTCATTTTTTGAAATTATGATCAACATAATGGATAAAATAAATATAAGTTCTAAGGGAGAAGACTCGTCATGTCATATTGCCACTTTTGTGTTCAATTAAATATAACATGTAGAGAATGAGTATTTTGTATATTTGGCTTTTTTAAACTTTGGTATGTATTTGATGAGGCTATTTGTTTGCTTTCTAGGTCACGGAGTGCAAAATATTTTGCACAGTCATCATGATATGTGAATTAAAAATAGATAGTTTAAATAGTTCCTATAAAATAATAATTTAAATTAATATTGTTTAAGTATATGTAACCAAGCGAGACTGAGCACTATTTATATGTGATGTGTTCCTGTTGTAATGCTTACTATTAAACATCATCGTCGCCATGCTTTGCTTTTAATACTAACTGTGATAGCCATAAAATGGCATTTTTGTTGTGTCTCAATTTTGTATTTATTTTAGTAGTTTTGTAATAAAAAATATGTATATGAATATTGACGTTCTCCTTTTGGTTTTCATCTCTAAGTGGATATTTTAACTGTTCGTCCATTTTTTAACGTGTCGTGGGAGCTACATGTCATGGAGCAAAATGTCATGGTACCAAATATTCCACAAAGTCTTTGGATAATATAAACAATAGCCTAGGTAGATTTTCCTGGAGGTATGTTGAATATCTATATTCACAAATAAAAAAATAGTCCAATAGTAACATCAAGTGCTATTTGTGATATTCTGTTGAATTTTCGCACTCGCATGTAAAGTTCAATATCTAGAATTTTTGTTCTGTGTACATAGAACTCTATCAGTTATTTTAGGTATATGGAGAAAACTTTGGATATTGGTATTGATAAACTATATTTTGACTTATTGACAATATTTCGATGTTAATAAACGAACAGATTGAAAATTAAATTATTGTTACAACTTTTAATATGTGTTTATCAGATTCATAAACAATTGCAATGTTGCACTTTAACATGCATTTCAATGAGTTATGTGCAGGCCCGTAGCCAAGGGGGTCATCAAATCTTGCCCCCCCCCCCCTTGAAAAATGTACCGGTCACTTTTTTAAAATAAACCTTTTCTTTTTGAGTCAATAGGAGCGACAGGTAACTGAGTCTGAGTGAATAGCAAACATTCTGGTCAGGCATTTTATGGTGAAGTAATTTCACCAGTCAGCTGCTATATTTTGATTATACGTAACGAAAAATAATGTTATGGCTTTCAGAGCTGCGTTATGCGAAATGGTTCAACAAAATACTAAGTATTCCTATCTGTAGGCCTAGAACTGTTTTTAAATAGCTTTCTGGTTATTCTTAGCTGATGATGAAACCAGACATCATAGCTTTTCATAACATTTTTAAATTTAATTACATTAGAATAGATAATTTGATACAATTGAGTTCGTTGAAAATCATAAAAAGTCTGCAGTAAAGCGTCATTGGTAACAAAATTATTGGTCTGATACTGGATTGTAATCTGTCCCGTGTCAAAATTCATTTGATTGGTTGATTATAAATACTAACTAATAGACATATATTATCCTAAATTGTATTCATAATGAATCAAACAACCAAACGTAGGAAAAATTGATAAATATTTGATCAAAAAGACAAATTGCTTGATGGTTCCGACACTACTACGACTGACACTGGTATCAAAACCACAGCGGGCAACACAACGGATGCAGTACCAAGATGCTCTGAAAAGACAGGAGTACCAGGTGAAATTGGAAAAGAAGATGTTCCAAAGCAACCGAGAATAAAATTTCCAGCGAAGTCTGGGCGCCATTTTAGTAACAGCTGGTATGATCGATTTCCATGGCTGGAGTATTCAGTGTCAAGGGACGCCCCTTTTTGATTTCTATGTCGGGTGTTTCACAATACATCTGCGGGTGCATAAAAATTCATCACTGAAGGCTACACAGATTAGAAGCATGCTGTAGGTGATACTGGAAAGGGCCTCGAGAAGCATAACAATTGAGGTGTCAAAACAATTTCTCCAAGATAACGTTGCCAAGACAGAAAAGCAGGACTCCAATCTTGTTCTTCAAAAACTATACGAGCAGAAATTGGCTTTCCCTAAATTATATGCACTGGCTGCAAGCGTTGCCACATTCGGCTCTAGCACCGCTGTGTGTGAAAGTAGCTTTTCAACTCTTACTCGTGTTGACTCACCACAACGACGATCTATGACTCAGCTTCGCCAGCGCAATATTGTTCTTCTTGCCTTCAACAGGAAGACCCAGAAAATTAACTTGGACGTATTTGTTCAACGTTTTGCCATAAAACATACCCGACTACGTTTAAACTAAAACGGCAATAAAAATGTAACGTATAATAACTTGTGTGTTTTAACAAAAATAATCTCGAATCTAAAATACTCCATGAAAGTCCGTTTCCCGACGTTTAATCGTCTGTTTAATTGCCCCCCTCAATTGCACGTTTGCCCCCCTCGATTGCACGTTTGGAAGATTGAAAAATGCACTTTCCAAGGGGAATAACTACACAGAACATAAACCAACTTAAGCCACAATAAATGTAATAAAAGGAAAACTGTAGTTAAATAATGTTCAGAAAAGATTTAAAATATGCAGAAGTAAGGCTTAAAATATGTTTTCTATGATATTGGTTGCTTTGCTTATTTGAGATGAATTTGTCATCAGTAGAGATGTATTTCTGTCGACCCTAAACATTCTACAATTCTGGTCAAATGAAATGCTCCTACAGATTCTAATGTCTTAATTTTAAGGATATACTACCCTTTAGGACGTCCAAAAATTTGAAATTTTTAACCTTTGCCAAAATGAGTCTTTGTTCTTTAGTGGACTTACCCTCTGTCAAAACTATACATCAGAATCCCTCTATTGATTCCAATTAATCCATAATAATAATTCATTAACCAAGCACTTTTGAAACATGCTTAGTAGCGTGTTTAATGGCTAATGTCTTATATAGAGATTCTATTTATTAGTCATGGTAAGTCCAACTATATATACATTTGTTGACCAAGTTTGATACTTTATATTTTTTTTACCATTCGAAGAGATAATATATAGTTTATGATATGATATCTCTTGGATTTGAAATAGAAACCAAATTAAGGTTGAAACAGAGACGTACTGGAACATACTTGTTGAAAATCTTGAGAAAATCATAAGTGACTTATTCCTTTCAATGAGCTTGAACTATTTGAGTGCAGCATTATATAATACGTTTACCCTAATTTCTTTACTAGATAGTAAATTTACTTCCTAGTAGCGCGGTTTGTGGTTTTAAAGGTATGTTGTCCTCGAACTCTGCTAACATTGATATCACAGCTCACAACCCACTGAACATCAACGGTAGAAATCTTAGTTACTCTGAGCTTGAAGCTTTATTTGCGTGTGTTCAGCCCACGAGGTGGTTTTATGTACACAGACACATAGTTAAGATCTTGTGGTTACAATACCAGGCATTTTTAAACATGGTAAAAATTTTACTGTATCCATAGGAAATATCTATCTGACTGCAGAAAACACAATTATGACTGTCACCATACTGATAAACCGTAGTTTGATGCAACATACAGCTGATAGAAACGAGCAAACGAGGCCGCATGACAATGACCTGACATGAGCCCACCATCTTTCATACTATGCTTTAACTAAAGTAAATTTCGTTGGTCGATATATGCAAACTTTTACGGCTTCTTAAGACTGTATTTCATGTAAAAATTTCGAATCTTGTCGCATTCTTATAAGCTCTGAAGCAAAAGATTAGCCGAGTTGGCTACATCCCTTAAATTAATTATTTTTTAGTGAACCGACTTTTCAATGAATGGCGCGTTATCATCTATTCACTGAGCTAGTAATAATATACTATATCCAGCACGGACTAATTTCATTGTTAATGTATCTTAAACGTATTTAAGAAAAAGTGTCGTGATTTGCAAAAATTGATTCAGTCGAAATGTAGGATTGAAAAGACGTTCAGATTGAATTCGTAGCAAGGTAAGGCAGACCATTTAGATGTCAGGGTTAACGCCCGATCATCGAGTACTGTTATAATTATATTACCTTGACCGTTCGTTCTATGTGATTGCCCTTGGAATGTATCGCCATGCTAAAGAAACATGCTGCAAAATTTTCCTTCGTTCGCATAGGCTATAATGAAATGAGTCAACGAAATGTTTGATATTGTGCCTACGATATGCCCGCATTACCGATAACTACAAAGCAACCCACAAATACCCTTTATCATGACTACTCCAGATTGGAATTTCAGGTTTCTGTCCACACACATACATTTTTGTAAGTGGCACGGGAAATTACTGAAATATCTTTTCATGCGAGTTTAATCTTTGACCTATTGGCTAAATGAGAATTGAGCCCTTATTGTACGAAATCAAAATACAAAATAGGAGTGGAAAAAGAAAAAATGCTAGACATGTGAACTAAATAAAAAAAATACACAAAGAACTGAACAATTGTTTAATACTGTTTTACTGCTAAGTAAATATGAACATTGTGAATTATGGACAACTGTTTTACAGAAAGAGGGATTGTTTCGCTTTAAAATTTAAGATGAAATTGAACACATCACGAAGTGTTTTGGCCATTGTCATTTACAATGTTTAGCAGCCTTAAAGTTCAACCGTGCGTCCATACTACATTTCATGTAACAATGTCGAATCGTGTCGCATTCTTATAAGCTCATAAGCAATAGGTCTAAGTTACTAAGTTGCAGACTCAGTACTTTATGAAGGAATATTAAATTGATATTGTGATCATTACTGTTCCAGTTTCTCTGCTGGAAGATAATTCGTTATCAGTAATTAAATGAAGCTTTTCGCATAATTGTCCTTTTGGAGGAAATTTTATGTAGATGAAAATAAAACCGAACTCTCCAAAAACATTTGGCAACTCAAACTGAAAAGTAATAATTTACAAAATATCCTGGTCCATTGATAGCAGAGCAAAATACTACACAAATAAAACCAAACGATGTAACCTGTGTTTAACTGAAAAGCTTTCCATCAATAATACCCTAAGCACACGTCTTTAAACAAACGTTCCGAACTTGCCTCTAAATGTAGACGAGCGAATAAGTTATACTTGTCCAACTTCAGTAGGGATGCAGGCTGAAAATAGGTCAGTTGTCTGAAGATCGTACGATGGGAAACTCTGAGTAACAGCATGTAGCAAATTCTGTTTAATAATTCTAGATGGAAGCTATACAGCTATCTTCATTGACTAATGTTCTATCAGGAAATAAATTATATTTGCATGAAATGACATGGGATCTTTTAACAGGAATTGTGATTAAAGCTAAGAAGCTTCATTGGCTTACTGAAATTATATTTAATATGCATTAAATGGCATTGACGGGAGACCTTGCAGTTGCAAAAATAAAATCGGCAATTTCAATATTGATTCCATATCATTTATAACCATTCCTTTTGTTTTTCTAACCATTTTTCATTTTACTTAAAAAACTTATACCATGATATATATCATATAAGAAACACATTGTTTACATTTTTATATTTTTCACCACATCCGTGATGCATTGTCATGCTTCTTTCCTCATCCATGTTACATTGTAAATGTATATATGTTTTCTGTGTTTTTATTATATACTTTGTATATAATTCGCAGTTTCGTGGGGAAACATAGTGGTTACATTTTCATATTTCTTTCCTCATCCATGTTACTTTGTAAATGTATTTATGTTTTATGTTATTTTCTGTATTTTTATTCTTTCTGTAATCTTGTATATAATATGTAGTTTAGTGGGACCTATTGAAAATCAGACTTCTGTCTAAATGGGTTGCCAAAATAAAGTTATTATTATTATAATTAACTAATCGGATAAGTCAACCTAATTTTTTCATTGTCATTCATGAAAAACCCAGTCCATTACAGGCTTGCAATACGCTGCAAAAAGTGGGATGTAAAATCCATTCCGTTTCGATTTGAGGTCTAAATATTGAACATTATTTCTATTGTGAGTAAATCTCGTAAATTCGTTTGCTTGTTATCAACATAATTATTTCCGATTCATTGTCAGTCATAACCTTGTGCTATAAATAACGTTCTATTTTCCTATTCAGAAGTTCACATCTTACTTAATATGACTGATTCATGGTGATCGAATAATTATGACAGTCGATTTAGCCAATGAACATCCGAGAACGTCACAGAAATATACAAATTGAGTCAGAGAAATAAACCAATGAAATTGTGGTAGAAATAATAGGCAACAATTTAAATGTCAAAATTCTGAAGCTTAA